GTACATATTTAAATCATTCTCTATTCAGTGTCCTAAAGGGTTAAAGCCAACACCCTATTTTGTATTTCGAAGTATATCTAAGCTTTTATCACATATAGAACCTCTATGTGGCTAACAAAGCAAGTATGATTTGTGTATACGGTCTACAAAGAGACGAATTGTTGACAATAGTCATATTTAGGGCATTTTGACAACTTGTCACAATGCATTTAATCTATTCATAATTGATAACTATAAAAGCATCAAACACTTTCTCATATATTGTTCGAAACTACATCTGTAAACTTCAATCACAAACATTGTGAAAAGGGATCAATTTTTAAATATTTTCTTGATTTACCCTGCGATGAAAAACCTAAAAAGGCTAATTTACTGGGAAAAAAACAAAAAATATGCTTCATATATTGTAGTGATGATGGCAGTGAGTCTCAATACAGCGTTTAAAAGACGAATATGTTGGTTGTACTAAACGTTTTTGTCGAGTAAATTCAGACAAGGGCATTTGCCCTTTCAAGGACAAAGCAAATTTTAACTGCGTAGGTTGAAATAAGTCCAAACAGGTCGAGAACAAACGTACTTGTCGAAATACTAACTAAGTTAACTCGAAACACAGCTAGCAAACATGCAAATCCCACGAAGTAAAAACACAAATAAACGCAGTTTGAGCTCTTTGAGCCGTTTTTCTGCGTTCTCGGCCGACAACACCCCATGGCCATTTTTTTTTTGTTACAACACTGCGACTAACTGTCCTCCTATCCACCATATTGCCTCGCGCCCAGCTCGTGCTCCACGGCTCCAAACCTCCTGCTTGTCGTTCATTCTTACCCGTTTTCCTTCAGGCCGGTTCGACCCGCCGTCGTCTCCCCCGTCTTCCTCGGCATTTTCGGGCGTTTTTCGTCGTCTCGCCGGGCCGCATTCTCTGCGCCTCTCTGCTCGCTGCGCGCTGCGCGTCCTCGACGCCTGGCTCCTCTGTGGCGTGTGTCCTCCTCTCTCCCTCCCGCCCGAGCTGATATCCTTCAGCGGCGGCTCTGCCCACTTTGCTCTCAACGTAACGACAAACTCCACTTCCTCTCTGCGCGAGCTGCACACACCGAAACGGGGGGGAAAAGCCACAATTCTTGCAGATTTTTTTTTTTTACCTGAGCCCAAAATAATTTAATAAGTTTATAAATTAATTTTAGCAAGACAGCTGTTTAAATGTTTTTTTGTTGTGGAGGGTTATTCAAATAAAATGGGACGTTATTGTACACAACTTTGACATTTTGTAAATAAAATGGTGTATTTGTAAAACAGTGATAGTACTTGGATGCCTGTTTACTGTAACTACATTTCCTCTTTGCACGTTGGGTCCTTTTCCATCAACTAAATAAAGGCCTTCCCTCAAAACACCAAGGTATGTTAGTTATGCAGTGGACCAAGGCTTTGTGTTGCTTCAGAAACACCGGCCTTCTTTAAACACGTTTGATATGGAGATTTTTTAATGCAGATCTGTCAATAAAGTATCTGTCGGGCTTCTTCCCTGGCTTATGAAGCCTATAACATCATAATTCAGGAGTTGTTCCTGATAGTGGTGTAGGCTGACAACCACCATTTCACACTAATGAAAGACTCGTGAGGGGCCACAAAACATTGCATGTTGGATTTAGATATGCCATTCACAAGGTTTATTGTCTTTTTTTATTGTTTACAGCTCTGTTACAGAACTACACAAACAATTAATCTCAAGCAAAGTTGTAAAGCTGCATCCTCAAGACTTCTCTGAATAGAAATAATAACAACCACACGTGAATGCCTGCTTCGGTTGTGACGAAATCAATAAAGATTGTATCATTTGATTTAGCTGAAGAGACGAACAGTTTGAACGAAGGGGACAACCAAATTAAGCAAACTTTGGCTGTTTATTCAGTGCAGCCTGGCTTGGAAAGTCTATGGAGTTTGTGTTACGCACTCCACCCCCATCACTGACCAATGAGATGTTTGCCACGACAGCGCATGCTCTCTGCAGTGGAAGATTTCCTTAAAAAGAACCCTAGCCTAGTAACAAGAGCGCCATCTCTGCAAGTGCATCAGAATTTAAGGCCAGTGAGGGTAGTGAACATTGGTTGGATCGGTTTACACAGGGTTGTTCTTTCCCACCAAATATGTCTAGATCCCAAAATAAGAGACATCTTTAACCTTTATGGCATCTGAATGTTGCAATAGAGATCGAGAATTGGAATAATTGGCACTGGTTTTCTGGTTTATAACTATTGGTGCTGCACCAGAGAAACAGAGGAGACACACAGGGGCGGGACGGCGAGAGCTTTTATTGACTCTTCATGTTTACAATAGTATGACTCGCAATAACACACAAGTACACGCTTACCTATGGGAAGATGCAAATGCAGCCATTTGTAAACCTTTAGTGTTGCAGAAGTGTGTCCCTCAACAGGCAGCATCACATCAATGGGAGTTCTATTTCAGGCGTCACTAGACGTCATTTTAAACTGTAAAAACAGAAGAACAGGTAAACTGTGTTCTTATGTTTGCTTTCTAATTAGCTAGACCAATGGTTGTGTATTCTGGTGTGGTCATTGTTGCTCCACAAACAGTGGAGAATAATGGGGAGGCATGTCCAGGACTTATAGGGCTTGAAGGGACGAAAGTATCACGTTTCAAATGAATCAAGTATTGTTAACTTCTGAAATCCCCCCCCCCCCCTAACACAAAATGTGGCTTGTTAAGTGAGGCTCATACATTCTCTTAAAAAATGTATTCATTTGTCTTTTTCCTCTCTGCACTTTACACAAACATTGGGTAAGAAACAAAACCCGTAAGCCGGATTGAAGCGCTGGGACCCGATCACGTGATCACATTCAAAGCTGCTTCTCTGTGCAAAGTTCAGGCCGGCCCCCCCCCCCCCCCCCCCCCCCCCAGAATGTGACAACCCCCTTTAGCTCTAGATGTGTAGCGTCCCTTGTGAGAACGAAGGACCATGTCCTCCTCAATAAGAGTTAAACAGCGTTGCCAAATTAACCCCGTAACATAGTGCGCAGGCGCTTTCTGGCTTTGTGCTCATGCTTGTGTACAGCACGCCCCTCACTTCCTCTCTTCCTCTCCTGCTCCACACGCTCAACAGGCAGCGCTGAATGCTGACCTGTGCAGCAAAGGAACATTTCTGATGTTATTTTGTGCTGCCATCTAGTGGGCTCTGATTGGCTCTCGCACGCAGGAGGGCCGGGGAGAGACAGCGTGAACAGTGGCTACGCAGGAATAAGATCCGACATCCAATAATAAACCGCAAAGAGCGTACCCACTAGACAGCAGAGGGATTATTTGTAGTGGCAAATCTAATTGTTAGTCTACTTTTTCAAAAGGACTATTCAGACCGTACACCCATAAGCCAGGTGAAAAAAAATAATTGTGGCTCGGTGTGTGTCCGTGTGACAAAGCTTTTCTTTGTGTTTGCGCTATTCCCATATATTTGCACATTACTGGTCAATTGGTTGCTAACGAATTGGTTGTCTGGGGAATATTTTCCCTTGGATCTTCGTTGGTAATCTAGGAGTCTGATGCCCTTGGTTAATTGTGTTTGCCGTGGCCCAGTGCCATCAGATAAACGCTGCCCTCAGGAACTGTTGGTCCACTTCAAATGTTCTCCAAGAGCAGGTCAGACAGATTGATGTGGTCACTCTGTCAGCCAAAGTGAAGGTATTGTACCATTTGCAATTTTTAGACATAACAATTTTTACTATTTTCAATGTTTTGTCATTAAATAAAATAGTGCATTGCAAAGCGGTGTCGGCTGTGCAGCTGAACAAATAATGCGGTGATATGTAAGAGACACATAGAGGCACATATAGCATTGATGACCCCGTGGTGACGCCCTCTGCGGTGTTTCTGGTAATGTGGGGCCAAACTGACCGAGTGCAGGTGCTGACATAGTAAAACACATGTCTGACGTTATGTGTTAGGCTAACTGCAATACTTTTGATAGCTCAGTGATCACTGATGATGATGAAAGCCTGTAGTATGTGAGGAATTTGTATATGGATTGAAGGAACTTTAGTCCCCATGATAAAACTATAAGTTGTATTTGACGCTTCTCAATTGCATGCCACAAACCAATTACACAATAGTAAGGACTTTCCTGTACCCCTATTTTTATTTGTAGATATTAATATTCCTGTTCTTAAATATTTCTATAGACTAGACATAGCTATTGCCTCTAATACAAGTGAAGGTGCAGAGGTGGAATACAATCAATTTTTAAGTGCTATACTTTACTTTAGTATTTCGAATTTATACTTCTATTGCTCTGGATTTTACGAAATATTGTAGTTTTACTTTAGTTCACATAACTCCACAGCATGACATCAGCTACTTATACTTGCACCCTAGATTATGAGTGTGTGGCAACATCTTCAGAGGTAGAATGTTGCCGAGCTCCAACTTCAAGTTGCTCCCTTATGCTGTGCCTTCAGATATGAACGAGTTAGTTGTAATGGGCCCGATAGACTCTTCCATCAGTGCATGAACAGGTGTGAATGGGTGAATGACATGTTGTTTGAAGCGCTCTCAGAGGTGGGAAGACAGACAGGCGCTCTTTATCAAAGTACTAAATACAAGTCAATGACTGAATTTTGATGCAGAATTATGGATGAAAGCTACCGAGCACATGACAAGAATATAATGTTAAAAATATACACACAAAAAGTAGCCTCACCTATATCATGATTATTTTATGTTATGGCGTTAGTAAATAGTATTGCTATATTTCTGAAAGCAGACTAAAATACATAGTCCTTGCCCCTCCACTGGGTAGGGTCTATCCTAACACTTAATATTAGATTCACAATATTATATTTCCTTCCATTCTAGTATTATGTTTCATTCACAGAGTCATCAAACATAAGCCATTGGTTGTATGTCGACCATTGGTTGTAGAGGCGTACAACCAATGGTCGACTTGTTGACAGCAGGCCGGTGGGCGTTAGGAAGTACGAGGCGTCCGTGAAGGCAGCAGCGGCTCTCACACGTCTCCTCCTCAGCACCGGGAGCAGAGCGCCAGCCCGCAGCGGGTAATCCCCATCTCCACCTTCCACTCGTCGTCGTGCCAACCGGAAGGGTTGCTATAGCTCACCCGAAGGGGACATGCGTTTGGGAGCGAATGCAAGTTGCGACCTAGAGATTCCTCCTCCGTCAGGAGAAGCTTTGGACCGGGACGCAGATGGATATGATCGCGTGAACAGCTGAATCCACCAATGATAAGCCGACTTTCCATAACGTGACAGCTGCTGTCGCATTTTATCTACTTTTCCAAAAACTACTGAAAGAACGCTCTGCTTGCTGTTTTTTTTTCTTCTTTTTCTTATTTTGTTGTCGCCTCGGTATTCCTGCGCCATGGTGACGTATCATCTAATATTAACTGTGATTATCGCGGCTCTTTGGGGGGTCGGCGGAGAGCCGCGAACGCATCGCATCGCTTCACCTGCGACGCGGGAGTCAAATACAACATCGCCGTCAGTGGTCGGCGGAGGTGATGGAGCGCTGCCCCATAATGTCACCGACGCCGCCGTGGGCTCCCGGATTTCATCTCTAATGACTCATCTACCAACTGTGAAAACCATCGTTATTTGCGTCTGCGTGCTGACAGCTGCTCTCATCACGTGCCTGCTCGTCAGAGTAGTCAGGTACGCGTTGGACGGTGTTGTGATCACGCAGTCACATGTGCAGATCACGGTATACATGCCCTGTGGTCGTTATTGATTAAGAGCACGTGCTTGTGATACGTGTGGGTGGGCCTGGTATCGAAGGCGCTGAGCAACTTCGTGGTGTGTGTGTGTGTGTGTGTGATTTTGCGTCCTGATGTGGATGTGACCTGCGTGAAGCGTGTCTGTTTACTAAATCCTTATCTAAATATCTCTCCATTCGCCACATAGGGTTTATTCTAAGTTCACTATGTTTCATATTACTGCTGCAATATTCTATTTGCAGATCAATTGGTTGCCTTTCCTGGTTAATCAGTAGATATTTTAGTTAATAAAATATCGGAAAATAGTGAATATGGCCTTCACAAGTTCATTGTAATGCCTTCAAATTGCTTTGCAAAGATATATAACAGGAAAAAGCATATTCAATCATGATTTGCACATTTCGCACGAAAGAATGCTCACACACAAATGTAGGCAACACCTTTTCAATTAATGTCAGTGGAATTATTGTTCCACTTTCTAATGTGAGGCTGTAAGATGTCACCACTTTAGTCTTCACAATGTGGGAGAAAAAAAATGAAAAAGGTGTACCGACGTTGTTGTTTATTCAGTTGGACCAAATGTTGAGGTTGTGTTTCTGCTGATTTCATGTTTGGCAACTTTTTCTTTCCGTAAGATCCGGCAGACGAATGAGAAAAACCCGCAAATACGACATTATGACGACACCTGCCGAGCGCGTGGAGATGGCCCCTCTTAATGAGGACGACGATGACGAGGACGACTCGACCCTCTTCGATGTCAAATACAGGTTTGTTTGTTTTTTAATAGAAAATAGTCAATGTTATCTTCAGATCTTCGGAGAATGCTGGAGTTTTTCTCTGTTTCTACTGATCACATGAGAACTACTCAGGCCTCATCTTATTTAGAGCGAGGCACACGCATGAAAGGGAACCTGAGATTCACTCTATTGATGCAATAACTAGTTGGCCCTCTATTGCATTTACCCCATTGTGGTCATATTATACTTTTAATTTGCTTGAATTAACTTGTCTCACTTTTCCTCCTTCTTATCTCACGTTTTACCGTAGCAGTCATGGAAATTCTTTATCTTGATTTTCCAAACATATTTAATCTTTCAACTCCGTTTTGACTATCAAATGTTGCTGTGTGGCCCCATAGTTGTGTCAAAGTAAGTCCAGTGCCACTACAGCAGGTCCAACTGCTTTTAGTAGACATCTATTACTCTCAACATTAATAAGTAATGCGATCCTGTACAAAACTACAGCAGCAGAATACAAATATTAAAGTATGCCTTTAAAATGTGTATCTGCTGCATGAGCTTCTTGAAGGAAGTGGCTGTGTTAAAGAAGCGTTGTAGTCGGTCTGATCTGATGTCGATGTTAGGTTTCACCCTTCCGTCCTCTCCATTGTTCTTTCACACACAACCGTTTCCTCTATGGAAGATATGCCGTCCTGTTTACCTGACGTTCTCGGCATCCAAGTCAGACCGGAATCTGCTGCAGAACATTCCCTCCTCACCGCGGTGGTGGTGGTAACGCATAGAATTCAAAATAACTTTGACTTTCCATTTTGTTCTGCAGGTGAATCCCGGCGTGGACGTCAATATTTGATAACTCCTGTTTTCCACGGAAATTGATTTCCTGTTTTTTGTGTAGTTCAAGTCTCATCGGATCAGATACTCACACTGCCGATGTGATGGCTTTAATTTGTGTCGAGCCCCCATGGAGATCATTCTTTGCCGCTTTACTGCTGCTTCCATCGTGTGGCACATATTATACATGTATATGTATATATAGATATATGTATATATAGAGATAGATATATGTATATATATATACATATATATATATATATATATATATATATATATATTTTTATATATAGATATATTTATATTAAACCATCGAATGATAACATGCAACACATATTACGCAGAGAACACTTTATTGAAATGTAAAAATGTGCACAATTTGAAAAATCTATTGGTATACAGCAATTGATTTTTTTTAAAACTAAAATTTCATACCAAATATATTTCTATCTACTAACCACTTTGCTGTGCATTTATACTGTTGAAGAGGGTTGTGTCCTCTCTGTGTGTACGAACTAAGCGTATACTATTTTTTACTGTGTTCTAAACGCTCCCGTTTTTCTGTTACGAGCTGTTTTCGGTGTTCAAATTTGGTTTAAATAATTGATTCAGGATGTTTGTGAGGTGTTTATGAAATACAACCATTTGCCATGAATGTGAACGCTGTAATCTGTTGTGATCAAGTGTGCTGAGTCATGTGACATTGTTGCTTAATCAAGCAACGACTGAACAACATCGACAGCAGTATTTAACATGTTCGACGTGCACACTGTGTCTTATTTTTTTTATAACAATCTGGCATATCTTGTTTGAGAGATTGGTGAACAATATGTTGAGTATTAATGGAAGGTCTCCCACAATAATTTCTACCAAAGGCTCACTGAGTCTTAATGTTTAACTAGAAATTGACTGATTTCCCTCCTGAAGAGTTGCTTCAAGCTCTTGTGAAAAATCAAAAGAAGAAAGTCTCGTTTCAAGTGGCAACACTGGTTTTGACTGGTTTTGACCTCCGTCTGCACCCTGAATGGAGTTAAAAAGTAAACAAAACGTGTTGCAGAATACAACTGGATCAGGTTTCGGCAGTAAATGGGAGGGAAGGTGTTTAGGTGACTTTAATTTTTAATCAAAACCGTTGTTGGATTGAGTGCACCGTGGCTTAGAGCCGCGTCTGATTGACCACCAGCCCTCGTTAAAAGAAAACATTGTAATTCCCTACTCGTACAACTCCTTTCCAGTTGTTGGAAACAAGGTAATTGTCATTCAAAGAAGACTGCGTACATTTCCTGTCACTGTTGTCAGTATGAAAGCGACGTTTTTGATACAATGATGTCATCAGGCTGCCGGCTTTTTCTTGCGCCATCGGTCAGACTTAATGACCACTGTTTGTTTCAGTATTGTGTCATGTTTCATTTTGGTTTTTCACTGTATGTACAGAAAAGTGCAGATCCTTTGTTGTGCCTCTGCTTTTGTGTGTCACCCATGTGCAGCTATGCTTTTCCATTGTGGAAACATCTTTTATTTCATCTTTACTTGTGACGAGTGAAATAGTGGAAAAACCGTGCTCGTCTACAGAGGCTGATTCTAGACTTTTATTACAACTTAATCATTTGCTGCAGACATTTCCTGTTGTAAAATACTTGGTAGCTATTTGAAGGCTGTAGCTAATTTCCCTAAACCCACATCTAAACCCAAAAAACGTTTTGGAAGTTTATTTCCAGAAAACCCTGTCGCTGTTTATTTTTAAAACAGATGTTGTGTGTATCCATAACGGTTTCCTCGGTTTGCATTTCGTTGAAAACACTACTGAAAAAAAACAGCCTCCTTTAAAGTTTTAAATCGTTTTAAAGTTTTGAGGTGTAATTTGTTTTCCAATATGAATTTCTGTGTCTTCTTATTCAGAAATGTACATCCACACGTTTTACTGTTTCCGTTTTTGCCGAGTTCAGAGCAGCTGTCACAAATAAACCTTTCATTGCCTCAGCTTGCTCACGTCTAAACTTTCATGTCTATTCTTAACTTTATTTTACTTTACCAGAAGACTGTCGCATCTTGTCAAAACAACATGAACAAATCACATGGCTGGAAGCGCATGACACGCTGCCTCTTCATCCAAAGAGCTCTTGGAATAATTCAAATTATTGAAAGAAGCATTTTGTAGCAGACATTTTTAAAAAGCAAATATCAAGAAAACTTCTATAAAACCTAAAAACTTAACTGCACTTTGAGACATCAAAGACACAATATGAACTTTTAACTGATGTATTACTTTGACAGATCAGCCTGGTACAGCCTTTGAATAGACCAATATTTTGTGTCTGGCATTACTAGGTATCTCTAATGTAAGAGACATTATTAAGACAGCCATGTGACTTTCTCCATCTGTCTCATCCTGTTAATAATAACAGTATAATAATAATAAACCTAGTTTTATTTCTGGGATTTTGAATAGTACAATGGTTTAATGTATTGATTATTATTATCATTACTATTACAGGCACAAAATACTTCAATCAAAATCCACAAATATCTGCATCAACCTACATTGGCTGAAATACTAACCCCAACTCTCTACACAAGTATAACTCATACGTCATTATAAATGGATAAATGGATACATTTCTACTGCTCTCAGTGTTATTGCACTGAAACTGCTGCTAACTTCAACTCTAAATTCATTTAAAGCACATTATGAGGTTAATTTCTTACAGCTTTAGTCACCAATTCGTTCATTTTAAAAACAAACTAAGCTCTTCTTACTACCAAAACGCGGCTACAACCTGACCTCAGTCTAGTACAGTGATGCAGAAGAAGAGCAGGTATTCTTTGAGAAAAGTTCACATTGTGAGTTTACATCCGCCCCACTGTGTGCAAACATTCCTGTGTGAACAGCTGGTGCACTCCCTCTTTATGCTCACAGAAGCGCAATGCGATTCAACGTGCTCTCATGGTAACTCCAACCTTATCGCTTGGCTGCTCTGGTTGACTTGACCTTTGGATTTTTTTTTGCTTATGAATAACCTGTTTTACACCGGGGACTTTATACAAAAGCGGAAAACGTTCTCTGACAGAGGAAACTTTTGTTATCACAAGTGGATCTCAAACAAATAGTTTGACCGACGATTATTCTCCCTGATTATTAAGTGCTTCCATTTTGTGGCCCAATAAGTGTCTCACAGGAGCCAATAATTGAGCTGCTCCTTGGCATGCTGGGTAAATAACACACCTGTAATACAGCCCTGTTCATTGATGAGTCCTTGATTAATGGCACCTAAAAATGTGTCCTGACTCCTTCATTTATGACTGGAAACATGTTATAAAGTCAGTGAAATGCATGGACTTTTAGAGCGGAGCATCTCCGTGTAAACCAGTAAAAAAAAAAAAAAGCGCCTCATTATTTTAATGGGTGCCACAGAAATCTAATTAAAAAAGTTAAACCCGTTAAACAAGTCACTAAAAGAGCTTGAAATAGAAAAAAGTCCATTTGCTGAAAATAAGTTAATTCAAGTTTCATAAAAGTAAGTGTTTTTCTCCTCCTGGGTCTCCTCTCTCAGCCACAGGTGCCAGTGTGGAGCCGCAGCGCCCCCTGTCTGTGCAACGCGCTCAGCGTCCTGAACTCCAGGGGCATGGTGTGAGGACTGGAGCTGGACGTGTACTCTTACTTTAGAGCGTCGTAGTAGTGGTACATCACCGGTCTTCCCTGCGGGTCGTGCCGTAAGGGCCAGAAGCCGTAGAGATGGATTTCTTCGCAGAAGCGGGTGGCCATCGTGTACACGAGGAGCCCGGTGGTCGGACGTTTTATGTGGACATTGTTGGTTAACCAATACCTGTGGACAAAAGCATGTTGCGTGTGATTGGATGCATCCAATTAATCGATAATGTCACCTAGAATGACAGCAAAGGGAGGAATGTGCTCCACTAAGCTAGATATGCCACATTATAGTCCCTTTTCGTTAAGAGGCAGAACTTAATAAGAAATATGCTAAAAAAATATCAATTTAAACATTCTCTGGTTCTAGCTTCGGAAATTGTTTGCTTTTTACACGAAAAATGAATGTCTGTGCTGTGGGCTTTGTACTGTTCATTGGGAAACATTTCGGGCTCCACATTTCCTGGCCCAAAAACCCTGAGACTCGTGCAGCCATCTGCACAGTAAACAAATAACATTCACGTGTCTTGGATCTGGAGAAAGTATAATAGATGTCTCTCTACAAACTGCCGCCTCAGGCTGTGCTCTCTGCGGTTCGGTGTGGAAGGTCACATTGAGATGCAGAGGTTGTACTATTCAAAGTAGTTTGTGTGACATGAAGGGCAGAAACTCTGCAGTGAAATGGTCTGATGGAGTGAATTATGAGCAGATGCTTTAACTCTGGGGCACACACGAGCTTTGACGCCCAGTCTTACTGAGAAAACGACAAGGTCAGGGGGAGGATTCATCTGACACCGCATTAAAAAAAAAAAAGGACAAAAGCGTTGGAATTATTTACGAAAAGATTTCTCTTGTAAAACACTAAGCAAACTGACTGAAACATCCACTGCCTGAAGGCAGTGGATGCTGTATTTCAAAGATCTGCAAAAAAAAAAAAAAAAAAAAAAAAAAACTCACCTAAAATGATCCAGTTCTAAAATATGTTAAAAAAAAAAGGGGTTATCAAAATAGAATTGTCCTTTTATACCACAGCTCAACAGGTTATAGTTTATTTATCAATATCTACATATCCAACAGAATTGGATAAAAAGAAGTGAGCGGTACTTTGAGATATTTTACCACTATTTGCAGAGAGTAAAAGCAGAAGATCCATACCGCGAAGAAAATCTTCAGCACTTTGTCGACTTCAGCTGGTTGCTTGGTAACCTCACCGCGACTACGGGAGCGCACTGGAAAGCCGACCAATTTTAAAATATAAATAAAAATACAATATTTACATAAATGTACATGAAATAAAAATGAGGTAAGGATAAGGCAGAAATGAGGTAAGGGGATCATCTCAAAACCGCATCAACTACAGGGAAGGAAATAGGACTGGAAAATGCATTTCCTGCTGAAAATGCGTTGGAATGCAAAAAGCTGAAATGTGTCAGGGATGTGGGGAGGAGGCAGGTGACACAAGAGACACACTGCTTAAATACACTAGGGAGGTGCAGGTAACAGGTGGAAACGATCAGACAATCACAGGACAAGGCAGGAAGTGAAGTTACCCAGGGAGACAAGAAGCAGAAAACTACAAAATAAGACAGGAAATAAAACCACACCGTGATCTGCTGGGTTCCTGCGCATGCTGGAGTGGAGGGTAATGAGGTGGCTGACATGGTGGCAAAGAGTGCTGTAAGGAGGACTGAGGTGGATGTAAGGGTGTCGGTAGGGCGCAGGGAGGTTAAGTCGTTGATACGGGAAGCAGGGATTGCGGAGTGGGAGAGACAGTGGGGTGAAGGTGGTAAAGGGAGGCACTTCCGGGGTATAAATAGGTCACTGAAGGAGGTTGGGGGAATGATGGGGTGCAGGAGGGAAGAGGTAGTGTGGAGTAGGTTAAGGTATGGGCACACAGGGTTGAATGGCACGCTGAGAGTGGTGGCAAAACATGACACAGGTTTGTGTGATAGATGTGAGGTGGTGGAAACAGTTGAGCATGTACTGTTTGTCTGTGGGAGGTATGATAAGGAGAGGGTGGGGTTGTATGGTAGTGTCAGGGAGACAAAGCGGGGCTGGGACTTAGGTGGGGTGCTTGGGGGTGGAAAAGGGAAGGAGGCAGTAATGAAGGCAGTATTTCCTTTTCTTACACGGGGCTGTAGAGCAGGATATAGAAGGGAGGCCGTGACCGGCCTCACACTCCAGTGCAGTAGGTGGCGGTATATGCACCTTTAAGTTGGTGCGATCTGCCAGTAAACGAAAAAGAAGAAGAAGAAGAAGAACCACACCGTGACAGTACCCCCCCCCCCTCAAGGGCCGAATTCCAGACAGCTCTAAACTGAGCAGAGAAGCAGAGCAGACGAGGGGTGGGAGGGAGGGAATCCAGAGACGTTGGTCGGACCGCCCGGGAACCCTCTGGGGGTCGGCCCGGCGGACGGTCACGTCTGTGGGATGGCTGGCTCAGGGACACGGAACACCTCCGGGGTCGGCGGCGGCTCAGGGACACGGGAAACGCGTCTCCTCCCGCACCGTTGGTCGGAATTGGCTCAAAATAGTCTCAAACTGTTGGTACAGATCGGGAATCGTGTGATATTATCTGAATAAGACAATAGACTAAGAAAAGTCTCTAGCGCCCCCTAAGTTGAAAAGTACCACACTAGGCCAGTTTTTTTCCCCCGATGCCCAATTGACTTGAAATTTGGCACACATGTGCTCTTGGACATGGTCTACAAAAAAAGTCAACCACGGTATGCAAATGCGCCAACTAGATTTTCCGCCATTTTGAATTTTGTGAAAAACAAGTTTTTGCCCATTTCTCCTGAACGCTATGTCCGATTGTCACAAAATATTCTGTGGATCCTTATTGGGTCAATGCCCCCATGTCCCTAATTAGGATCGTGTTGATATCTCATTGTTTTGAGAAGTTATGGGCTAATGAACTTCACAAGGGGTGTGGCTTAATCTGGCAAGACTCGTAACTTCCAAATGGTTTGGCCTGCCCTCACCAAACTGTTAACACATGTGAACATTGAACCCCTGAACACACCCTAATTTTGCCAGAATATTTGAAGAATAGGGGGCGCTGCAATTCATTTTTGATTAAAATGTAGTCTTGTGCGCTTAATCTGGCAAGACTCGTAACTTCCAAATGGTTTGGCTTTATCGAAGAGGTGGCGCTCTTAGTGGGCCGCCTGCTTCCTCCGACCCGGGAGCAGGTGAAGTAGGGACGCTTAGTAGTGGCTGGAAAAGAAGTGAGAACAACATAAACAGAGTAAATGTGAACAGCCCAAATTCTTAAAGCTTTTAGTAAACATGGCCTTGCTCTTTTAGACTTAATATCTAGGATACCACTGCTGAGTAAATACACTTGAACTACTAGAAGGCCCACCAGAATAACTAATATGTTATATTAAAAGGTTATTACAGCTTGTATATTGTTATGCGGCACTTCAATTGTAACATAAAAATGAAATTTAAATCCTAAAGCATTAAGGAGTCCAGATGGGTTCTTCCTCATAATGTTCCACATTAAATCGAAGGACGAACATGAAGCAATTTAAAGTAATGGGTTGTTATTATTATCTTTTTGTTCAGCAGAAATCCGTTAACAACACTGTGGTGATATACAGCACCAACTTGGAACTACAAAAAAAGCCTCTGTTGTGATACGTTACCCTGGTCAGCGCAGTAAACCACGGTGCCCCTCTCCTCTCCTGCTGGCACGGGGGTCCTATCGCGTCCTGTGTGATGGTAGAAAGGCTCTGGCTCCGGGGGGGTCCCACTCTGCAACACATACCCTCATTGTTCGAAATGTCGACAGTTACTGCCAAATGGGGTGCTGGCTTTTTTCTTCATTTATTGAAAACTTCCTTCGGCCTTCTATTGGGCTCAATAACCTTCCTAATAACATAACCGTTTTAATACAATGTGTAATTACCGACGTGATGGATGATGTCGCTGATGACCTCACACTCTACGGGCCAACGGGGGCAGGATATGGATGGGAACGTAACCAGGTCCAGCAGAGCCCTGAGACTCAAAACAGGTCGGCCACCGTCGAAGTCGACGAGAAGCTGCGTGGTCCTCAGAGTCTGACTTAGATTCACAGCCCCTGAGGGGAGACACCAACCACACCTTCAGTAACTGCGTGAGATAAATGCATGTTTGGTGCACACGTCTTTCGCAGGGAAAACCAGGCCTTTGGCACGACAGTCAATAGTTGTACTCCCACCCCACGTCGCACATTAGACAGCGGAGTGGGATTAGAACAGCAACAAGTCGACCCATCGGGGTGAAGTTACATTAGCAATGCAGGGAAAATGGCTTACGCTGCCTCCTTCCTGCCAATTCCTCCTCATCTTCCCCTGCGATGGAGCCATTGCTGTCCGATCGGTCCCTCTGATGGGTGTTCCACCAATTCCTGATAGCGGACACAGCCTTGGTTTGTGTTTTCTCTGCCTGAGAGGAAAGCATTAAGTCATCAACCTCATACTCCCAATTGCCAAACCGAGTCGGAGGTTTGTGTGGTTTGCCCCTTTTCATCAACCACGGTTTGTAATCAGGATACTGCACAGATGAATTATGTTATTGTGAAACAATTCCAATATTTTCTGCTTAAAGTAAAATGCCAGAGAAAGTCGTCCTGAAGGATGCAGCGCGCATTCATGAGGTCAACCAGTGCAGGGTCAACAGGTGTTAAACACCGGGAAGAAAGTTCACTGAAGGTTGATCCTCCGGGGACGGAGAACGGAGGCCTCAACATGTTTAGCACTACGAATGTATTGAACAGTGTGGCGCAGAAAATCATTAGTTAAGATAGAAGCAACATGTATTTAATATGTGCCTTGTTACGCTGCTGGAAATGACTCCCGCACATCCAAAAGGTGATGCCGGGTTTGACCCTTGAACTCAGCACGTCACAACGCGTGTCCTGGGTGCTGCGCGTCTGCGCTGCGCCCTCCTGTGGCCGCAGATCTACATGGAGCGAAGAATAATACCTGAGAAAAGGGTACCAGTGAAATAAGCAATGCTGGCTTATACTATTAAAAAAAGGTGATGACTGGTACATTGACGAGTAAATGGAATTCACTACTTAGACATTTGAAACATCATATATTTTATATAAGCAAGCAAACATACATTATTAAACATATATTGTGGTCACCTGACATCAATGAATCAAAGAACTCACATCACACAACACCACATGATTTTAGTTGTCTTTTGTGGAATTCAACACTATTCTTTAGCAGAAACTGCGCTCTATATTGTTACCTTCTGCAGTTTTTTCATGTAACTATACTCGTTTCATTTAATCGTGTCATTTATTCTAACAGGGCAAGCCCTCAACAATTTGTGAAAGTTTTTTTCCGTGCACTTAAACTCACACACTTAAACCCTCACGTCCTAATTTCAGTTCTATTTCGCATCGGCCATACCAATCTTTATTTGTTCTTCCTTCTCTCCCGTATAGAGGCCCACAGTGGAATAAAGGCTCTGGCTGCTGTACGCTCCCATGCCGCAGGGGGCGCTGTGGGCCTCAGCTTCACTTAGGGTCGCGCGAACAGCTGACACCGCGAAGAAGAAGAAGAAGTTCATCCTGCTGTTGACAGGGGAAGAGAATATGAGGTAAGCGTACCCAGATTTCCCTCCAGATGTAATACAGCTGCCTGACACGCAGCGGGGGGCGTGAACGCGTGTCGGTAGAGGACGCGGGGGGAATATGGAGGTTGTAGACCCCCCCCCGGCGTGAGTAGCCTGGTGTCACGACCGCGATCCCACATGGAGGTCACAGGTTACAACACCGTGGAAGTCTGTTGTCAAACGGGTTTATGACGCAGTGTTTGTGCAAACAGAGGAAGGGCAGGTGAAATGCAGGTGAGAGGGCAGCGCCCTTCGGACCACAAGGCTCGCTGGTACAAATCGTTAACCCGGTTGCCGTGGAAACCAAACGGCGTTATCAATAGACTTGAGGGCGCGGGCCGCGATGGGAGACGCAGTATTTGTCTTTCCCCTGTCGAACGAATTCAAACGACGTTCAGTCATGATTCGGAGAAACCTCAATGCAAATAACACGACCAAGTCACATGTACCAATCAATACCTTAATAGAACAGTTAGATAATGTAGAGCACTTTATGCTTAATATTTTTTAACTTTTTAAAATATTTTAAATGTTTAACTTTAACGTTATTCTTTTATACTAACCCATAGCCTTATTCTACTAACCCATTGCATTAGCATTTCATTTTACTTTTACTTTTACATGTTATTACTTGTGCACTGCTCTCTTGTTGTCTATTGTTACACTGTCTACTGTCACGCACCAACCGCCAAGACAAATTCCTTGTATGTTTGACATATTTTGGCAATACATGTTTCCTGATTCCTGATTTCTGATAACGCAGGTGTCATAATAAACGTGTTTCCAGCAGCTTCTAGACTGACCTCATGTGTTCTTGTTTTACTTGTTTCTTCTTTCTCTTAGGAGCATTGATCTAATACCAACAGAGGAGAACTGACTAGTAGTGTTTACGCTATGGAGACTTTAGCTGACGTCCTAAACGTATTCCACATCAAGACCAGTGGATTGTCTGTGACGATCAGCCTCTTTCTCGTCTTTCTCGGCCTTCTCTACTGGTGAGTAACATCATTTCATGGGGATGCCCAGGGCTGTAGTGGAGGGTAAACGCACGTAAACGCCATATACGCACCTCTAGAATTTTTGAAATAGCGTTTACGCACATATAAATAGCGTTTACCCACCTCTAAGTGGCGTTTACGCACCTCAAAGTTCCGTGCGCCTTGTATTCTTCCGTTGGAATAATCCGAAATAAACTTGGTGTAATTTTAAAACAGCTAAGACTACGTTTCCTATTGTTGAACATATAAACGCCGTAGTCTGAATCATTTTCATCTGCGCTGTATTACGGTCTGTGAGCATCCAATCAGTGCCTTGCGGCTGCAGCAGCGACACCAATCAGGATCCAGGAGGTGTGTAAACATACAGCCCAGTGATCCCCTTTTTTACCTCACGGAACGGTTTCATGTCAGACAATATTTCGCGGACCGCTCGAGAAGGTCCGACGGGGAGGGGGTGGGGGGGAGTAGTAGTCGCGCGGTCTGAAGGGACAAGAAAAACACGTAGATTAGAAAACAAGTCTCAATGTGAAAAAAACATGCTGTATAGGCTATTTATGATGACATAGGTAGTACATGAGTGTTCCTTTAACTTATGTTGTCAGTGTAATTGACAGGCTGCTTAACTGGTTAACTCTTAAATTCAACATATTTTTTCAGGCAGTGAGAGGACAGGCAATGATGCAGAGAGCACAGGGAGAGGAGAAACACCAGGTCCAATAGAGAGAGGAGAAGCACAGAGGAGCCATGAACCCCAGAACACGCGTTCTGGGGTTCATGGCTCCTCTGTGCAAGGCAGGACCTGACGTGGAGGACAAGGAGGCCCTCTGGGCACTACTGTGAAAAGGAGACTCCGTATGTAGATAGTTCTTAATCTGCAATTGTCTTGTTGTGTTGACATACTTTTCTTTACTGTTTTCTTAAATTTAATAAACTACTAACACGTGTATTCATTGTCATTGATTGTATATAACTTTTACTGATAACATAATGCAATATAGCCAGGACAGCCTTACAGAGTCGCAACGCTTTGTGTTGCGTTGCTTCGCATCGCGTCGAGGTCTGTATGATCACAAAATTCAGAGTTTACCCACCTCTAATTTTACCACTACAGCACTGGGGATGCCCTTGAAGGAACAGACCAACGAAAAGGGTTGATCGTGGACCAACGAAACCCAATCAACCAACATGTCATGGGGACAATAAAACCAATAAAGAATATTCTAGAACGTATTTGCTTTCTCTCCTCTTTTTCTCCAAGGTATTCAGTTTACCCCTATTCAGTCCTTTCTCGATGTGGAATCAAGCATCCAAAGCCGGTGCCTTTCTTGGGCAACATATTCATGTTCCGCCAGGTAAGGTTTCACTGCAAAGTCCATCATACTGAGATGCACCTTTCATTCCCAAAGCTTTTTTTTAATCTCTCACATCTGTCAAAAACATTTTTGATCAAAACATTTTACCCGCTGACGTGGGTTATATTTATGCTGTGAAAGCAGAAGAAAAAAACATTCAGCAGGCTTCATTTGAAAGCATTTATTTATATGAGGTGCAGTGAAGTGGTTTAATTTCTACAATTAAAAGAAAATCACATTCTCTTGTATGCAAAAACCCCTCAACAACTCTCACCAATTCATCCCTGTTTCGATTGATCATAATAATGTCAGAAGTAGGTAAAGAGATCTGATGTCAAAGTGAAACCGACGTTCCAGCTGTTTAGGATATACAGATGTGTCCCTTCACAGCAGATCCTCATGTGATTTGGTCAAGAGGGCCACGGCCCCTTTAGCTGCCACTGACATTTATCTAGCAAGTTTCCGTATCTTGAAATGAGGCGGGTCTTAAAATTATGTTTCGGGATGTTATTTTTCATGTTAAGATGCTGTTTTTTTATTTTATTTTCAGGGTTTTTTCAACCCCATCAATGACCTCATCAAGACACATGGCAGAGTTTGTGGGTAAAGAGAACAAAATATCCATCTGATGAAATGACCGTCTGAACGTTTCATTTGTTGAAATAAATTCAATTCTTGTTTCCAAATTGCTATGTTGTAGTTATTATTTGGGCCGGCGCCCGGTGGTGGTGATAGCGGACCCCGACATGCTAAGACAGGTGATGGTCAGGGACTTCAGCAGCTTCACCAACAGAATGGTGAGGACAGTCACCCGAGCATCCGCATGCACGCTCTGTGCTCGCTCATGAACTCGGGATCTAACGATAACAGATGTTTGTTCGCCCGTCTCTTTGTGCAGACCCTCCGCTTCGCTTCCAAGCCCATGACCGACTGTCTGCTCATGCTGAGGAATGAACGCTGGAAGAGAGTGCGGAGCATCCTCACCCCGTCGTTCAGTGCTGCCAAGATGAAGGAGGTGAGGAACGAGAGGGTGGACAATTCACATGGGCCGATGTTTGTTACGATAACCAGAGGGGACATCTTTAGTCTAATGAGTTACAGTCCTTCATAGGTGGATGGATGGAAAATGTGTAAGAAAGTTAGTGTGGAGTTGAATGAGTTATTGCAAACTACTCGCGTTCTGTAATTCAAATTCGAACTTTGACAATGTATAAAATGATTCTAATGAATGCACACTTTCTTATATAATTGAAGCACTAATTTGGTGTGACTACTGACGAAGGTTATTTGGATGTCTTGTTTCTGCTGATAAACATGTCAAAAGAATTTATAGTGGTGCTTCTCAGCCTACAGTAGGTGCGAGCAGCGGGGAGGACGTCAAGGACTCCTTTGTGGAAATTGGGCATATTTCCAAGTGTGTTATGTCAAAATTTGCTCTCCTTTTAAAGCATTATTCTGACTTTTGGAGTGTTTCTAATAAATCTCTTTCTTGTTTTCGTTATTACAGTTTTATTTCTTTCTGGGGGATTTATGCACTAGTTTGTCAGATGTGTGTGTGTATCCATTTGCAGAAACTCCGCATCAGCATCTGTGACGAGTTCCCCTGTCTTGTATATTTCCTGTAGATGGTTCCTCTCATCAACACAGTCACCGATTCCCTGATGAGCAATTTGAATGTCTCCGCTGAGTCCGGAGAGACCTTTGACATCCACAAGTAATCAGAGATGCAGGGAACAAAGGCCATCAGTATCACGCTGCATCTTTCTGCCCTCATACTTGTGTGTGTTTTGCAGGTGTTTCGGCTGCTTCACCATGGACGTTATTGCCAGCGTGGCATTTGGAACTCAGGTGGACTCTCAGAAGAACCCAGATGACCCGTTTGTCCGCCATGCGCAGATGTTCTTCTCCTTTTCTTTCTTCAGGCCCATCATGCTGTTCTTCAGTCAGTCAAACCTATTTTGTGTTATTTATACGTATCAATCATTGCATTTGAAACACTATACGAATGCAATCAAGATAAAATCATCAAGAAGTTTGTAGATTCAAGAGTTCATAAACATGCATTTGCGGTGGTGTTTGAGTGTGTAAGGATGGCCTCTTCGCCCAAAACAATTTGGTTTGTGCGTCTAGTTGCTTTTCCGTTCATCACGGCTCCTCTGGCAAGATTCCTCCCCAACAAAAGACGAGACCAGATGAATCACTTCTTCATCAACACCATCCAGAAGATCATCAAGCAGCGGGAGGAGCAGCCGGCTGAAGAGGTGAATCTCATGACCATTTAAAACTGAATCTGAAATACAGCACAACTCCTGGTTTCCTTAATGTTAAAAAGCGCTTTGTTGTGTGCGTGTAGCGGCGTCGAGACTTCCTCCAGCTGATGTTGGATGCTCGGACCAGCAAGGAGTGCGTGTCTCTGGAGCACTTTGACTCCGCCGCTCATGCCGCAGATCAGGAGACGCAGCCGTCGGCCTCGGGGGAGCAGGACGACCGCCTCCCCCCCCCGCAGGAGCCCTCCTCCAGGCGTCCCCCGAAGAAGATGATAACCGAGGACGAGATCGTGGGTCAGGCCTTCGTCTTTCTTCTGGCGGGCTACGAAACCAGCAGCAACACGTTGGCCTTCACCTGCTACCTCCTGGCCATCAACCCTGAATGTCAACGCAAAGTACAGCGAGAGGTGGACGAGTTCTTCGCCAGACACGTGAGTGCGATCCGATCTCCTTTTCTTCAGCCGACGGTGTGAATTTCTGGTTCTAACTTTTACTGAACTGTGCGTGACTCGTTTTCTTTGTTCTTTTTGTTGCAGGAGTCACCAGATTACACAAATGTCCAGGAGCTGAAGTATTTAGACATGGTTATAAGTGAAACACTGCGCCTCTACCCGCCTGGGTTCAGGTACATTTACAGCAGTAAATGAGCATAAAAAATGCATTTTTTTTTACCAGGAGCACATTCATTTATTTCTGTGTATGCATACAGTAGACTTTCTGTTACGTTTACACTAAACAAACAGGAATAACAAGGAGTAAAGAAGGGAAAAGTAGTTTCATGGCATTATCCCCCCACAAAGGTTTGCAAGAGACATCGATCAGGACTGTGTGTTGAACGGCCAGTTCCTTCCCAAAGGAGCCACGCTGGAGATCCCAGCGGGCTTCCTCCACTACGACCCGGAGCATTGGACGGAGCCGCAGAGCTTCATTCCTGAGCGGTAAGGCGCTGTTCTTGCATCAAACAGGCAAAACGTCACGAGCTTTGGGTTTCACTGCCATCTAAATGTAGGAGATGGAAGAGATGGATTTGCCGGCAAATGAATTTATTGTCGAGTGTGTTTCATACGTCGTCCTCCAGATTCACACCGGAGGCCAAAGCCAGCCGTCACCCGTTTGTATACCTGCCGTTCGGGGCCGGCCCCCGGAACTGTGTGGGAATGAGGCTCGCCCAACTGGAAATCAAAATGGCTCTAGTGCGTCTGTTCCACAGGTTCAGCGTCGTGGCCTGCTCCGAGACCAAGGTAGACGAAACACCAGAGTGTTTCGTCTACCTTACCAATACTTTTAGATATTATTCTTAAAACAAAGATTTATGATGTAGTGGTCAAATTTCAGGATGCGTCTGTTTGCGGTTTATACATGAGATGAATACAATCCTTTTATTTAGAACACATAAAGTAAAATATATGAAAGACCTTGTTTTTACATGTATTTCTTTTCTTTTGTGCAGGTTCCTCTTGAGTTGAAGTCCTCAAGCACTCTAGGACCTAAAAACGGCATATTTGTGAAAATTCAACGCAGAGACGTCCACAGTGAAGGAGTGAATTCCCCACCAGACGATTAGAGACTAACGCTGATCGTCCTTTAAACAGACACGAAGCATTCTGCAGGTCCAAAGTGTGCATCGATTATGAATAGGTCATTCAGGGCTTATGTAATTCAAAGTAAATTCATCAACCTTAACCCAGCAATGTTTTTAGTTTCATGCACTGTTCATGAAATCTGTCACCTGAACATTCCTTCATTTAATGTCAGTCAGTGGTTCTTTACTACCTCTTCCTCCCATGAATTATGGTTAATTAGCTATATCATTAACCACCATTCATGCAGTGTTACTGATTACATTTTAGTGGTGACTAAATACTTACATAAATTAATGTGTGATGATTTGATCTTTCTGTTCTATATTTATTCGCTGCCTTTAAAAAGTGACATTAATGTTGTTCTCTACTTCAATGATTTCACCACAGACAAATAAAGTATCATTTGCATGTATTCAATGTCCCTACTGTGTTGCATGCTAAGGTCAAATACTGTTGGACATTCTCTGCCCAAATAACCTTATACTTTTAAATCATGTTGTTCAACTACAACATATTGAATATGGGCTCTAAATAGTGTTGTTAGCTTCTATTCTTTAGGTCCTCTGCACCAAATTTCCATCTATACTGTGAGTGTCAAAGAAAACACGCCAGCAAAACATATTGAAGCTCCCTGTACATTTTATCAATAGCTGGTTATTTATTATATTTCTATTCAACCGTTGCTTCTTTTTTTTTGCATACCTATTAAAACTAAATAAGATCCTTAGAGTTCACTCAAAAATAAAGTTGTGACTGAAGAAATCGCCTTTTCTTCTTCGGCTTCTGGAGCAAACGTTTGTGGCAGAAATCCAAAAGGTTTGAACTTTATTGGTATGAACATGCAGTTCTTTAATGATCTGTAAACGATCTGTAAGTATCACCCGGTTTATATTGAAACAGCATAAGCATCCCTTTCTTGGTAAACATTCTGTAATACGGTTTTTCTGGCAAAACTACAATAATCAAACAAAAGGAATCCCATTGACTTATTTTTACGTCCAACTGCCTTCCACAAGAGAACCATATTCTTACATCCTCTAAATGATTGTTTTTCTACTTTTGAACACAGAATTTGTACATGTGCTTAAATATTTCTCCCACCTCTGTGCAAATACTTTTTTTTTTTTTGGTTTGTTTCCCTTCACCCTTTTTGCAACAAGCTGTAACTTATGAGTAGTCGATGAGATACTCTGGGTAAATCTGTTGCTTTTCGAACACAACGTAGATGCTGGGGTCGCTCTGGCTGTCAACGCAACTGTCGTAGAGGGTCTTGCCGTTTCCTTTCGGTGGGGGCCGGACGAAGCTGCTGCTCCCCTTGGCGTGCTCCCCCACCAGGACCAGAGCAACGAACATGATCCGGTGTTGACCGCTTTTGACCTGGACGTAACAGTCAGAGCGGGACGCGTCCCTGGCAAAGTAACTCCCTGAAACGAGAAGACTGCGTTAGTGGTCGGAGACGGAACTCTGCTTTTCGCTGTTCTGGAAGCCCGATGAGCCCCGAGTACGAGTTAAATGCCCCAATGCCAAAATATACGATTGTATATTGGTCACATTGCTGCAGTGGTACGTACCTTTGCCGTAGGACGTGCCGTGGACGCCGCACATCCGCCAATCAAAGTTTTGCTCACAGATGGCGTCAATCAGGGACGCGTCCGTCCCGTGGAACAAGTACTGCTCATTCACCGACGTGACCTTGTTCCTCTCCTTCATCTGCTGTTTCTGCCTGAACACACAATACTGGGGATGTGAATCTAATGTCAAATCGTTATTATTTTTTGTTGATTTTTTGGGGCTTTTTTATTTGATTGCACCTGTAAGCTCGGTTTTTTGGGGGACTGACGATAGGCGGGAACACTTTTATTTGATACAATGCTGTTATGAAAATACTGATTACAGCTGCAAGCCATAAAAGCAGGACGGGATTTTACCACTGAAAGACTTTCCACAGAGACGGGTTCTGGATCCTCTGGATGTTGTTGATGTTTCTGCGGGGCATGGTGCGCTTAAACAGCTTCTCAATCATAACGTACTCCTTTGCAGATTTAGAGAGCGAGATGAGCTGAAGGATGAGAGCACAGTGCAGATAAACAAGTCATTCGTGTATAAATTAACATCTGCGTTCATAAACGAGAAGACGATGGTATTAAAGTATTAAACGGCGTGCCGACGCCCTGGTGGCAGAGGAACCGGTTTGGCACCAGAGGACAAACCATTAATGTGAGTTCATGGGTTGCACCTTACGTACCAACGGTAATAGAATGTCATGAACTGCAAAACTATCTAATCTCATTGGCTGAGCTCCATCATCATCATCCCAGGTAAAACAAAACAAACAAAATATAAAAACATCACATACACAAAACCAGGGGATGAAATGAGCATAATCCTATTAACAACAACGAAACTACCAATTTGACTGAACGGATAAAGAAATAAACAGACGCACTAAAAACTGTTATTTTCGGGGAAACAGCGAGAAAAGCGACAAAGTCGTTGATGCTTTGACAGAGACCTTGTATCCAAAGTCTGGCAGAGCGGTTGCGTCCCAGTGGGGTGGGAAGCTGTCAGCGGCGGAGGAGCTGGAGCCTTGCGATGGGACACTATGAGGAGACACGCATCAGAACAGTCTGACGAGTTAAACGCGCTCGGGGACGCGGAGCAGCAACGCTAGAACACGCCCCCCCCCGAAATACCTTTTGAGTTTCACCTCCACGTCGTGAGCGGACACAAAGCGAGGCCTCCTTCTGACCTCGCGCTTGGTTTTGAATTTGACATTCTGCTGATACATCTCCCCGGTTCCCGCTGCGCCTTTGAAGTGGAGGACATACTGGTGTTTGCCCATACCAAAAGGGACCTCCGTGTCTCTGTCCGCCAGGTACACGTTCTCCAGAGTTTCACAAGTGACAGAGGCTGGTTGCCCGTCGGCGCCATTCTGCAGAAAAAAAAATAAAAAAACAGAGCCAACTTTCGAGGAACTATAAAAAGGACGACAACGACAAAAGACGTCAAGCGTCATCGGTACTTGTCGGACTGACTTGTCCAAACTCCAGCCATTGCCCGATGTCGTCCTTCCAGTACCACAGCCACTGCGTTGTTAGGATGAAGTGAGGGGGCTTGGACACAGAGGACGCAGTGGACAACCGACGAACTGGAGACCCCCCGTGCGTCATCGTCACAAAGTCAGTGGTGGGGGGGGATTCGGAACTGAAAACAAGCAAGTAAAAAAACACATTCAGCAATTCTTCTCGTCCCCCTGAAGGACACTTTCACGCGCCGCGGTTCGTTCCTTCATTCATGCACCTTTGCAGGGACAAGAAACTGAGAATCCTGGAGGGGGGCGACAGCGGCTTGGTGCAGCTGGTGTCGTTGCACGGGTCGCTGTAGGCCCGCTCGATGTCCTCCATAGCGGGCAGGTCCTTCCACGTCACACCATCGCTGTCCAACGCCTGCCATCTAAAGGGAAGGTGCCAATGGACGCGGACGCACTTCTCTGTGAGAGGAAACACGGATGTAAGAGGAAGCGGTAAACGTCGTCCCCTCTTGGATCCACGCGGGTGGCTGGTGCCGGCGTTTACCCTTGAAGCTGCAGTGCCTGCGGATGAAGAAGAGGCAGATTTCATTGGTGTCGGCGTCGCTCGGGGGTTGAGACGGGGAGGCGGAGCCAGCAGGGGGTCTGGGTTTCTTCTGGCAAAGCTCCTGAGGCGGCGGGGTCCCCTCTGGCAGCGCTGCGAAGGACACACACATGTTCAAGATCCACCGTCACAAACTACAGATGAATTTGAAACTTTTTTTTTTTTTAAAGTCCTTGTTCTCTACCGGGTACAGCGGGTGTCTCCCGTTGACCCTGGATGATGAATTTATTTCTGTAGATCTCAGGAAGGTTTTTGATGATCTCCTGACTGACTCGGAGTGCCTTTGTTTGTTGCACGTTGACCTCGTGGGATCTCTTACACGAGGAGCCAAACTTGCAGTCTCCCTGGAGATGGTGCTGGCAGATGTGAAGCTTGGTGCACGCAGTGGTGAATTTGCAGGAACCGTGCAAACCATTTCCTTTGTTGAAATGTGGGCAAATCTGGAAAGGGGGCACACGTCATGGAGGGAAACACATCGGGCAGTTCATTCTGAAAATACCTAGAAATCAACAAATCCACCTCTGCCTCCTGCTGTCACTAGTGCAACTTACCTCAGGAAGCAGGTAAGGATCATTCTGCAGTAACAGCTGGAACAGCTGTTTCTCTGTCAAATCCTGAAGATCATGTCTTCTCAGAATCCCAGCGTTGTACGCATCATCCAGGCTGTGGGGATTTTTACATTTGAGTCTGAAAAAAATGAAGAAAATATTATGTCAGTGAACGGAATCCATTGAACCTTTCTCAATATGGCTTCTGGAGTTTGGAAAGTTAAACGTTTGACTTCTCTGAAGTTATATAACTAAATGGACCATAACCTGTTTCCGTCCATAGGGGGCGATATAAGGCAACACTTTGTGCGGTTGTTTACTTGCAGTGCAGTGTCCTCTAAACACATTTTAAGACATACATTTTTTTCACATTATTTACACACATATACACTGTGTACACATTATTACTTATTGCCAGAAATACTGGTCTTGAAGATGAGAAATAAAAAGTAACACAACAGCAACAGCAAACAAAAAGAGAAGTACACAACAAAAACACAACAGAAACGAAAGATTAGCTCTGTGTCAGCGCCCAGTTGTATGTATATATAAATATATATATACATACATACAACTGGGCGCTGACACAGAGCTGCTATATATTATATATATATATAAACTAACACAAATAAACTAATAAAACTAAATAAACTAAAACTAATAAGTATGTCCGCCTGCCACAGATCGAACGACAAATCACGGCACCTCGCACAGAACTCACCCGAACGTGCATTCTCCGCAAACGTAAAACTTGCAGATGTGCAAGGCGTCGCAGCGGGGACATTCCCCGGGTCTCCTCTGGCAGACCCGCAGGCTGCTTTTGGCCACGATCAGACTGTCCCGGCTGAGTATTTGTCCCTCGGCGACTCTCTGTCGGCCCTCCCGGATGGACACTTTGGCGTCGTCGAAGAGGACGACCTGCAGGACCGAATTCGCGACGGTGAACTTCTGCGCGATCTCCTCGTCCAGACGCTGGAAGTCCAAACTTCCCCGGTGGTCGCACAGGGTCTTGACGACGAACTTGGAGATGACCGAAGTCATCCTGCTGGGAGTTTCGATGGCGGACTGGTCGTCGGCTCCTCGCAGTCACAGCTGGTGAAATGAAAGTGAAACTTAAAAACAAACAACCAAGCGGACGGAAAGACGCGATGGGAGAAAAAAAATGCAATATTCTAATCTAAAATATATATTAACATAAATATTGTGTTATTTCCCAACGTTTCATTCCATTGGATCGTGTGGTGATTTTCAACGAGCCGCAATCACCTGGGGAATCGGCGTTACCTTGTGTTTATCGCCCGCGGATCACGTGACAGCACACACGCCCTAGCAACCACAGCAGTGGTTTCAGTGTACCATAGCAACCATGGAGGACGAGCTTTCGTTGACGGAAGAACAAGAGGTCGCGCAAGAACAAAAAGAACTCCACCACGACCAAGTTGAAGCATTAAAGTAACGATACTAAATATTCACTCTCCGGAGTGAAGCGCGTTAACGTAACGATGGCTTTTATTGCTCAGTTCGTGTGTTTGCTAGTTGTGTTGCGCCTATAGATAGTTGGATGTTTGATGAGTTTTTGCATTTTAATGTCAACTAAACCACCTAACTACACAACAAACAACAACCTAACAACAATTACACAATACAGCAGTTTCCCTTAGAAAAGCGTCCACGGGTCAGTGAATAAGTTACATTTGACACACAGCTGTTTTTAACGTGGCTGACACGCTTCCGCCCCAGATGTTCCAACGCGGCCCTCCTGGCAGAGATCGACATGCTGGAACGATTCATCGGCCGCATTGATCCTCAGGACCTGGTTTCCACCGCTGGGGGAGACGGCCTGGGGCCGGCCGGAGCCTCCAACCTGGAGGGTGGGGTAAGTGCACCCAGTGACAAGACTGGATGTAAATATATATATATATATATATATATATATATATATATATATATATATATATATATATATATATATTCACATATATGTAACGTTAGGTGTACGGCAGATTTAGAGCTCCAACACAACCAGCCCACAATGAATTTGAATACGTTTGGGGGTTGAACCTACAGCTCCATATTAGCAATCCGCTTTTTGTTTGCGTCTCTCCAGCAGCTGACCTCGGAACAAAAGCTTTACGTGGCCCAGAGAGAAGTAACGGAGGCCCGAGCAGACCTGGAGAAAGCCCGGCAGAGATGTGAGAGAGTTCAGGACCACTACAAGGTAGAAAACCAAGATGGAACGCACACCCTCGGAGCATTTTGTCCTCAGTGACTCTGCTCGTCTCCGCAGGCCTCTCTGGAAGAAGCAGAATGGCATCTCGCAGATATCAGGAAGGCCAAGAAAAAGTTTGAAAGTAAAGCGCTCAAACCCCTGCAGGACAAGAGGTTGGAAGTAAAGGAGCCGGAGAAGGTGCTTCAGTACATAAAAGACAAGTCAAAGGTAGAAACGTTAGTTTTTATGACACAAGTCAGTGCAAAGGACAAAGCTAGACTTTAGTTTGCTGTTTTTTATTATCGTCAGCAACTGCATTAGCCTCTCCAACTTAAAATGCCATCTTAGCACGATTATCCGTATGGTTGTCTTAGGTTTGATTCCCACATACGTGTGAACCTTTACTATCGTATACTGATGCTTTGGTGATCGAGTTCAATGTGTCTGCTCGGTTCACAAACAGGTCGCCCAAATAGAGAAGTTTCATCTGAAGAACCGGACACTGCAGGCCTACAAGAAAAAGCTCCAGCAGCAGCTCCAACAGAAGAAGGAGACGGGAAAAGCCGAGTACGAGGTGGACCATGAAAGTTGTTTCATCTCAATCAGATCGCTCAGATTGTGTACTTTGTCAATTAGACTGTTGTTTTTTTTTCTTTTTAGTGATGGTAACTATGTCATTTCTAGGACTTGTTCCAGGAATACTGCGAGCAAAGAATTGACAAAAGCTTGGAGGAACTTGCAGTCAACCATTCGAAAGTACTCCGCGTCCTCGGCTCACATAAGGTAACTCGTAGGAAGTGTGTGCGCGTGAGGGAGGGACCGTTTCTTTTAGTGTCGGGGTATGAAACCAGCTCCAGCTTGGGTCTCTTGGTGTCAACAGGAGAAGCTGCAGAGTGTGACGGCGGAGGCTGCGCAGCTGAGCGATGACATCACCAACAGGAAGCAGCTGCTGGTGAAAATCGAGGAGAAGCTGCAGCAGGCCGAGGAGGTCCGTCGCTCTTCAAAAACAAAACTGATTTTCAAACCCAATGCTGCAATTTGAATGCATGGAACCATTTAAAACTCCCAATTTATTTTTCTCTCTTCAAACAAGAAGCATCACCCGCTAATTCAGTTGGTTTCCTTTTATCTCTTCTACTTTATTTGCTCTCCCTTCAGGAGCGCTCTAAAGCAGAGGCCCTGAACAAACACCTGCGCCGCCAGATGACGGATTATCGGGCCCCCGACGTCACGCAGTACATGGACGTCAAAGACAGACACACAAAGCTGCGGCGGAGCATCCACATGTTGGAGAGGAGGTCTGGGATCACCGAGGTAAACGCAGTTTAGATTGTTGTGCCACGTCGAGCTTCAGGCCAGCTGAAGAAAAAAAGAAAAAAAAAGAAAAACCTGCCGAGTGACGGTGCTGAAAACAATGTGCGCTCTCTTCTCTGTTATCAGCAGTTGGCCTTGAAGGGCCGGAGCACACTGAGAACCACTCTCACTCCTGCAGGCAGAGCCGGGGCAGGAAATACAAGTGGGGGGCAACCAATCTCCCTAAAGCTCCCACACATAGCAGCAAAGAACACAGCGAGAACAAGAGAAGCAGAAAGTCTGCTGGGGTCATAAAAGGCAACCGAGCACAGTGTGTGGCAGAAAGACACCTTGATGCTGTTACTAAACACTCTGTTGCACAACATTACAACCACAAAGCTGCTCATTTGTTTGGTCACCGTTGGAGCTTTAATCCTTATCACGTTTTACTTTTTTTTTTTTTCCATGTTTGTGGTTTGTGTTTCTGATAATGTCAAACCATTAATCGGTTTCCTTAATCTTTATATAACAATTTTATGTTAAATAAAACTTTATGCCCACTACTATATTGTTCTATATGGAGTCAGTGGTGCGCTCAATTCCATGTTGTGTAATTTGATTCTTTTGGGCATTTGCACTTCTCATTTGAAATAATAAAAGGTCCCACTGCAACTGTCAAATGTTTCTCTGTTCGGTCATCTGGTCCTGTATATTTTCTCTGACCGAACTGCAATGTGAATGTGGTAGATGAATTTACCAGATATTGGATTAAATGATCAAAACCAGCTTGTTATTTAACTAATCACAGCACTAAAACATCACATCAATATTGCAGCAATCAGAATTTTTTAGAATTATATTACAACATCTTCCACAACTGACTACAAATGAATTAAAGCTGAAGTTAGTCAATATAAAAAAGCAAAGTTAAAAAAACAAACACCTCGGACTTGACAAACTATTTCCTTTATTAGAAAGAAATCCATTGAGGTATAAGCCCTCGAAGAACTCTAAATGTTATGATGCAACATGCCATATATACAGTTATATACATAAAAGTGCAATGTCACAATGGGTAAGCTTTTCATTATTCATTCTGCCTTATAACTGTCTGGAAAAGGGCATCGTTACTTATTCATGGTCTTCCTGCGCTGCATATTCTCAAAAGAAAACAGAATGACATGAAAATGCAACAGTACACAATGTCTGGAGTTTGTCTAAAACATTTTTCAAAAGGCACTTACATAACAAGTACAAGTACATCCTACAGACGTACGGGACAGCAGAGAAGCTGAAAGCCTACAGACGGCGTCACGCAGTCCTACTGGTGATGGTGACGTAACATAGTGACAAAAGCACTTCTTTTTATTACAACTGGATTCATACTGGATCTCTGGATGTTTATTACCAAGTCATTTCTATCCAGAAACGCAACAAACAAACAAAAAAGAAAAAAGTTAGTAAGTCAGATTGTAATCTTCTTTCGACTATTATACACACACACACACACAATGTCTGTCAAGTCAAAGATGGTGTAAACCCGCGGTTAGAGAGCATTATTTATTCATCACAAACCAATTATATTCTGTGTGTTACTTTGCTAGCTAAACACTCCCAGGTCATGCACACAGTTCAGTGAGTACTGTACAAGTACTGACGCTATTTTGAAAAATACACAGTCGAGGGGCGCACACACACACACACACACACACACACACATTACTTTGCATTCTCACCGGGGGACACGGAGTGAGCTGCAGGTCGCAGAGAAGCACAACACATCAGGGAGGCTTCCACGGCAACAGTCGTCAGGTCCACGGCTGCTGCTTTGAGCCTAAACACGGCGGCACAAATGAAATATGCCTACATCGCAAGTGGAGGGTCACGTCCGTTAACTTGTTAACACTCGTGTCTTTGGGTCGATCGGGCCGAGCGAGGCGGAAAGAACCTGCGCGTGTCGTCGGCGCCGCGCTGCGCGTCGCCTTTACTGCAGGTAGGAAGTGATTGGTCGTGTTGTTTTCACACTGCTCCACCATTTGTTACATGGATGCGAAGGCAAAGTAATCATCAGGCATCGTGAGCTGCTGATGCCGGAAATGAAGAATTAGTCAAATTCAAACGCGGCTCATAATGAAGTAGTGGTTTCACCCATCAGTCTTCTCTCATTCCAGCCAATGTGGAAGCATGTTGAAGTTGTGTTTCGCAGTGAACCCAGTGGAGGTGAGCTTTGTACATTTCAGAGACACAGCAGAAGGTTGTGCATTGCCAAGGAAAGTTGCTGACACGCCAGTGAAGAAAGCACACTGCTAATCAAACTACTATCTATGAACAGACTATTGGTAGTTAACGGCTCTTCAGGCCCTTAATCAGTCGGATCTTTTCCAAACCATTCCTGTCCAGGTAGTTACAGCACCTTTATAATAGTTTAACATGTGAAATCTGTTACGTCTCAAAGTCAAAAAGGGCTCGCGGCCGGCGCACAACCGCTTCGAAAGCCCTCCTACGTAAAAGAAAACAGAAACAAAAGTCCTTTAGTCCGGGATGAGAGAGAACGGCGCTGCGGTCACTACAGCCCTCATCAAGCTCCCTCTCCGGTCCGGTGGCGAAGCGGCGGCGCTACATGCGGCGTGTTCTGCTCAAAGTTACAGTTCATGAATGTCCTCAAACTAAACTAAACTAGTGTACGTTTTCTAAAACCTCGAAGGAAGCCTTTGTGATTTGTTGTTTTTGAATTTCCTTAGACATTTGTTAGATAATAGTAAACCAAGCACATCAACACGTGGCCGCGCACGGCATGGAGACAGACGATCGGTAACGCTCCTCCGCGTCTTTGCTTCACATCTCCGGTTCCCTTCCCGGAGCTACATGGTGCAGGACTTGTCCAGAGGGTCCTGGGCAGCTGAGGCTGCCGGCTGGGAGGCCTGGCTGGACCTGGGCAGGAGCATGGGCTTGGGCCTCAGGGCGGGGGGCTTCAGCTGCACCCCCATGCGGGGTGCTACCAGGGGCTTGAAGGTGCTCATGGTGTCGTTGGAGGAGCTGATGCTGCGGCGGATGGGCGGCTCGGTGGCGGCGGTGGGCCGCAGCGTGACGCCGTGGATGGGGCTGAGGGACTCGCTGGAGCTGGCCGGCGTGGGACCCCCGCCGCTGCCGCCAGAGGTCTGCCGCTGCTCGAGGGTGTCCAGCACCACGTCGGGCGCGTGCTTGGCCGAGCTCTGGCGCTCCAGCTCGCGCAGCTCATTCAGAGCGGTGTTCATGGTTTCTTCTATGTCCTGCAGGAGACACGAGAGAGTGAGTGTAAGAGAGAAGAAGGTTGGGATAAAAACAAACAAACGCAGAAAACCAAAAAGAAGAGAAGAACCGGGAGTTTAGATGAAGAGCAGAGACGAGAGATGGAAATAGAGTGCGGCATCTTAAGGAAACACAAAAAGCGATGTTAACAGAGGACCACAGTGACGTTTTCCTTTTTCAAGGAAACGCCAAGCATGCATTATACATGGAGAGCTAGTGGAGTGTTACTTTGCACCGGCGCCTCTCCCTCTGCATGCTAATGACTTTGGGATAGACGTCCCAAACCACTGGGGCGCGGACCGCTACCGGCTATTTGATATCGGGCCGCGCTACAGAAAGAACTCTGAAAAATGTTTGGTTTTGAAAATTGAGGCAAAAAAGGTTGGGGACCACCGGCGTAGGAGACACACGGAGGACAAGACGCGTGTATCTGAGCACGCTCCCAGTAGCCAGACAGCCCTGCACAGCTTAAAGTGCTCTCTGCGACCTCGGCGTCTCTATTATATAAGTATGTGACGACAAACTCAGTAGAAACGCAAAAATGCATCGTGCAACAAGTTGCGGTTTCTTGCGACGCTGTCGGCCCAGAGTTTCTTGCGTTTTTTTTGCACACGGAAAGGAGCAGCGAGAGGAAGCACAGGACAGGGACTGACTAGGTTTTTACAGGGCGGGGCAGGGCTTTGATGGTGGAGGGAGCTGCGGTCGGGTCGCTGCTCGTCCCGCGCTGACCTGTGCGATGGTCTCCGGGTCGAGGGGCTTGCCGCCGTGGTGGTGGTGATGGTGGTGGTGGTGGTGGCCGTCGGCGAAGCCCGCGTACTGGCCCGAGGAGGTGGAGCGGCGGATCGGGGGGCTCTCCATCTTCTTCAGCGCCTCGTTGCGGCTGATGTTAGTCAGACTGCCGTGGCCGGTGCGGCGGCGGCGCTCGGGGCTGTCCACGGGCGCGTGGCCGCGACTCCGCAGCACGTCCCGCGGGCTGAGGTGGCCGATGACCGGGGAGCCCATCTCGGGGGTGTGTCCTTCGTGGCCATGCTGGGAGGGATGCACCACGCAGTGGGCGTCGCTGGGGCGGGCCGGCGGCCGCCGAGACGGTGGTTCGGATCTTTTCCTGTGCCTGCTGGGACGGAGGAGCAGGGAGGAAACAACACAGCACATTATTTGTTTATTCCATTACAGCATTGCATCTCTTACCCGAGCACTGCATTTGAGTTTTGTGGTTTGTGTTTTCAAACAGAGCTATTGCTCCACTTTGCATCTTTCAGACAAAAAAAAAAAACCCACACTACCGGAAAAAAGAAAAGAAATCGTCAGTTGCATAATAGGAACCCAGCTCCGACCAGCATATCTCCCACTGGGAGGAGCAACATCTGCCCCAGGAGTGCAGATGTTTCCAGTATGCACAGCACCACACACGCCTGCCACGAGACCCATTTAAAACGAGGCCGAGCTGAAGATGAGCACTTCCTACTACACAGCGTAGCTACTCACACTGTTTTACCACGCTAACATCTTCCATTGCACCATAAAAGGCCAAGAAAGCACCAGATTCTCTCTGCAGGCTCTGCATGATCATGACCAAGCACATATCATCCCTTTCAGTCTAGCATGAGCACGTATAACCAGTGAGGGAATCTAATAATATACTTGTTACCCGACATTTCTTACGTAACATCTCATGCAAGGTCAATAAGAGACTTGAAATGTAATGTGAATATTACGTAGTCACTCTTTGAGTTGGTGTAACATTTTCTGAAATAGAGACACCTTGAAAGTAAGAAATATCGACCATCTGAAGGCTGATACGTGGCGGATTAACTATTTTAATTCTGCATCATTGGTTCTTTGTGATGATGAACAAGCATTGAAGTGCTCATCATTTCATTTCACTTCTCTGGCAAATGGCTTAATTTGAGAGTCTAACAAACGCCGTCAATTCACACGCGGCGTCGTCGCGGCGCTCAACTAGAATCAATAATAACTAACTGCTACTCTTCGTCCAAAGCTACACAAAGCTGCTAACCTCTGCATTAATCAGAAAGTCTCACGTCAATCCAAACAGCAGCGTTTGCTTGTGTAACACTCTGAAACATCATTAGGAATTCACGGACACAAAAAGCTCTAACGATGATAGTTAAAGACTCCTTGGTGGAGCAGTTGGTGCTGGCGCGCCTGCTGAGGGATAAATATGTATTTTTCTGACTGCAGTGAGGACTCTGGATCGGTAAACAACTGCAGGCACCACCGGCAGCCAGCGGGGGGAGCAGTCTGCGTTCACAGGACCCGTGTGCCTCTGGGCCAAAGCGTACAACAACAAGCACTGCGACTGCCGGGTGAGCTGTCACCACGCCGACGGCTCACCCACCGCTAAAAATAAGGCTTATCGCCGGGAATTCCAGGAGCTCATCCCCATCCCAACAGCACCAGCTCCACTAGTCAGTATGATCCCCGGAATGCGCATCCTCTCTACTGAGAGAGGCGCTAATGTAACTGTCATGTCTGCTGACGCCAAACTCTACAAGAGTCTGGAGAGAGTGTTGTTGATTGAGAACACGAGGAGAGGAGAATATCTAAATAAAGCTCAGGGAATAAATGATTCAACGCATATAAGAATTGTTTGAATTTTAGAGCAGAAAAGTAAGTACGGGGAGGAGCGGGTTAGATGGGAAGGAGATGAAGAGCGAGGTGGGCGTCCCTAAGGAGCTGCTGGCAGGTACAGCGCGTTCTGGAGGAGCTTTCTCAATGCCGCCGTGACATAGATGAGTCATTCATGCCTCTGCATACGAATTCCAGCAGCGGTGTGTATATACACACCACCTTTAGTGTGAGTCATCAGGTTATCCACAGTGAAGTAGAGGCAGTGAGTGTGACTCGGCTTAAATAGCATTCGCTAACAGACGCTTCAAGGTCGCTCACTCTGCCGTCAAGAGCTGCTGCAGCAGCGAAGACAAAGTTCTGGCTCGCCAGCAGCAGACGGACGCTGCCAAACGGCCAAAGGTGTGACTGGATACGCGCGGGTCTCCTCTGTGTGGGGCGCCGCTGCCCGGGCACGTGTATGTTAGTGTGACCAGTTGAAGTCATGTCATATCAGGATGAAATAGATGCGAGAGGTGGATTCTGCGGAGGACGCCGACTGACAGGAGGCTGCATATGTAAACAGGAAGAATTGGGTGCAAAAGGTAAAAAACGAGGTGTTTTCAGCAATGTGCGATAGTACAAATCAAAATACCTATATAAAAGATTTTAAGTTTGTTCATCTTCCGAGAGTCTGGAGTGTGAGAGCGATGGTTTTCACACCTGAAGCCGTTGCATGCATCCTAAGCGATGCAATACTGACGTTGTTGCAGACATGTCAGTCGCTATTGGATCGCCCAATATTTCTCATTAGCTAGAGCCAATGGGAAGTGCAGGATGTGGTGTGGTCACCATGGAGACAGGGAGACTCAGACTTATTTACACATTAAGATGCATGATAACCATTAACAAGGATGTAACTTTCTTTGGCTGAACACCAATCTCCTAATTCCAAAAACACAGTATAGATTTTCCTGGGAAATACGCCAAATACAGCAAAGATTTAAAGAATGCAAAGATTGTTAAGACGACGGATCGCTAATATGAAGTCCCTTCGTATGTGCATTGCTGTCCAACAAATCCAAGCGTAGAAATCCAACCTGGTGATATAAGCCTCAGAGATCCTGGTGTCAGAGGGCGAGCCGACGTCTTTTCCCAGGCCTTTATCCTCTCCGGCGTGGCCGCTGCTGGCCTCGCTGTCCGCCTTCTGACTCAGGCTGTCTGAGAAACTGTCATCTCTGAGTGACATTCAGACACGGAAAGAGTGAGAGGAAGTGACAGAAAAAGCAGAAGAAAACGGAGGAATCAGCAAATTGGTCGATCTTTCATATTTGCACAGCACTTGGTGACTTGGTACTACGGTGACAGTCTGTGATATCGGTTTCCTGCGAGTCAGCAAGTAGCTGCCTCCTCCGCGCCCCCAAGGTCCAGAGAGTCACATGAGTCATATTCTCACACACACACACACACACACACACACACACACACACACACACACACACACACACACACACACACACACACACACACACACACACACACACACACACACACACACACACACACACACACACACACACCCAGCTATTTGGGTTTCAGCGAGGAGACTGGCTGACTGACTGGGTTCAGTTGGTGCCGGTCAGGTGGCAGGAAACGGAGCCACTGAGCTGCACGGCTGCCTTTTGATGTGCGTCATTTGAAATGAAACGCCGGGCGTCCGCATGAAGGCACACAGACGGAGGCGGAGCAGCGGCGGTCACATCGCCGCAGGAGAGACGGCGCTGAACGCAATTTACAGTCGGTCACGAGAGAGTATGAGAGGGACATCCTGTGCTGAAGTGGCCTCACTCAGACGTGTCTCTGCACGTTTTATTCTGGGCTCTTTTATGGGACGAGGCAAGTTCACAACCCTTTGAGCTCTGTGCGGTTTGAGCAGAGAGCAGGATGTTACTACGCTCAGGGGAAACCCGTGCAGCTGTAAATCCTACCGCTCTTTCATTACCTAAGAGGACCACCCCCCCCCCCCCCCCCCATTCCCCCTGGTGAATTATTGACAGAGGAACAGTGGCGGCAGGTGAGCAGCAGCGGAAAAAGGGGAGGGCTTGCTAAATGGACCCTTTTTCCAGCCAGCCACTAAGTGATTGGAGCGATTCTGTTCCCGTTCCTAACGCGACAGTGAATCCGGTCCATTAGGCAGCGGCGGATGCTCGTTAGTGCCGAGAACGGCTGGTCGAGCACAGGGGGGGGGGGGATTGACCGCGTGCCGCTCATCCCGCGGCGAGAGCCGGCGGACCGCGACGCTCCGGCAGCAGCTGGCATTCACACAGCGAACCACCTGTAGAATCATTTCACGATGTCAAACCGGCCCGATCAGCACACTTACATGTCTTGGACCACGATGTACTGGTGCGGCACCAGGCCATCGATGCCGTTGTGCCGCCCCTCCCACCAGTCGTCTGACGCCCGCTGGTACAGCAGCAGCGAGGCGCCCTTCTTGAAGGACAACTCTCGGGACGAGCGGCCAACGTAGTCGAACTTGGCGATGGCTTCAATGGGCTCGCCCTCTGTCAACAGGGAGAGGATTACACAGGTCAGGCGGCTATTATCGCACGAGCAGACATATTATAGTTCTAAGTCAATATTTAACTCGGCTCTACCTCGCCGAGCGGCCCGGGGAAACCGCAGGCCGGGAAAAGAGCTTTAGCATGATTTCCTTTTAAGAAGCTGGTATGATGAGATCAGGAATCACGACATACAATGCAGCGGTGATTTTAAACTTCCATCACTTAACTGAAAGTCTGTCTTTTATTTACTTCTGTCCTTCAAGAGCAGCAACAGTGGACTCATATTCAAAAGGTTCACATCTCCCAGGATGTACGCATGTTCTATAGCAACACCGGTCTAAAAATAGCTTCTTTATCCCGCCCTCCTTTCCTTACTCCCACCTCTGCCCTCCTCCCAGCCCAGCTCACTATATAGTCAGACCAACCCCCTGGAAAGACTTACACCCCCCCCCTGCGCTCACACAGGCTCTCTGTACACTGCGAACAAAGTAAATGGCTGTAGCCTGTTTTGGCTCGGAAAGCCATCATGGATCTTTCTCAGGATGTGACTCCTTGATGAGCCGAGAGGCCATGTGATGGATAAAACACCTGGCCTGATTCATTTCTTTCAGTGTCCTATTCAACCTCTTCTAATATCTTTGCATCCAACTTTTCACTTCGCTCTGTTCCTTGCTTGACTAGATGGTCAGGATTGATGGGGCGCGTGTGACGTTGCTCCAGTAAAATTTGACAAGCGGGAATTTACTGTCAAGATTAATTGGGCTGCGCTGCAGCGGACCAGGCTGGTAATAAAGTTGACAGAACCTTCATCTTCTCTCACTTCAACCTTTCCGTCCATCTAGCCGTCCATCCAATTGTTTAAACACACACACACACACACACACTTAAAGACATGTTGAACCCGAGTACTGGAGCCCTGTGCTGTAAGAGATCCAAACTGTCAGACATCTTACACAAGCCAGTGGAGCAAAGTCTGTGAGGATGTTGCTGTAAGTCCAATGTCATAAACAGAAGCATAAACAAGCCTGATGTGAGATACGGGTTGGATCAATACGATACGAGAGGGTAGAAAACATTTTTCGCTCCAGACAAATGTTTATAGCTGGTGCTTTCTGCTCCAAAAAAAGGAGCATGAGACATCATGCTGGACTGGAAAAGATGAAGGCAAGTTGGACGTGGCGCTTTATGGGGAAAAAAGGAGTTTGTAGATTTACTTTTGGGGTGAAGAGGCAAAACATATTTTGCGCCCTTTTTACTATTTCCGTTTGAATTAAGTGGTGGTAAAAAAAAAAAAAAGACCGGAAGAGGGTCGGAAATCCCAAGGTTGCAGGGATTTAAAAATAACTCGCGACAATAACTTGACCGCAGCTCAAGACTCAGTCGGGAGGGGCTCCAATCAGTGAGGACATCCTTCCAGTGTTATCAGAAAAGCCTTTTGATCAAAACCACGGCAGCAAGGGATCTCTGGGAGACATAATCTCCCATTATTTAATCAAAGAGTTCATGGCTGCCATCTGTTTTACAGTGGGAATCTTCACTGAGAGCAGCTTCCTTGTCGCATCAGATGTGTTTTTCTTTATAAAGGACATCCAGTCGATTACTTTCACTCTACAGCTGATATACTGTAAAGAAAAGACCTCCACGAGATCTCGGGACTGATGACGTATGGTGACAGGAAGCTAAAAATCTCCTGATATCTCATCTCTGGGTGTGAAAAGGAGACGGGATTGGGGCAGTTGTCACCATGGAAACAGGATAAGGGAAGTCTGTTGGTGAGGTAAGATGTGAAGCCTCAACTCCACCGAACTCTCTTTCTGCCTGATGTTGTCTGCTCTGTGTCTCGGATATTTGTCACTTTTTACTAAGATTTTTTTTTGCAGTACGTCTGACCACGGCTGATGTTTTGGTTTCAACCAACACATGAACTATTTGAGTTGGATCAGACCAGCTGTATTGATTTCACTCAAACAAAGGACCACGTGTATGATCACGGAAATGCAAAGTGTGTAAATGAGCCTCCTATTTCTTTGGGACACATGGAAATGTAGGTAAATGAAGCATAAACTCAGAAGTACTCTATTTAGACAGCTATTAAAACCTGGCACTTTTGAAACATACTGCATAGATGACTAGATGTCTATTACTGATTACTGGAAAAATGTTTAACGGGAAAAGGAAATTTTAACCACGACTGTCAGTCTTAGTGTTGACCACCATGCAATTGGAAAAAACAGAAATGGAAAAAACTAAAATAAAAAAAGAAGTGTCTTGTGGCCCCCGAGGGAGAAGAAAAACCATTAGAATATGAATGGCTGTCCATCACTGTGAGCCCAGTTCCCCGGCCCTTCAAGGGCACTGCATTTAACAGGCTGAAAAGCAGGATTAGCTGCAGTGAGATGAGCCCTGGACTGACCCCTCGCACCACGGACACCAGGGAATGGGTGTGGCCTGCTGATGGTTGAGAACAGCATTTCACTTTAGGTGTCGGCGTGTGTGTTGTGGCGTGACGGTGAAGTTAAATTCATGTATTGTTTAGTGAACAATACGGTTTCGAAACGCTGTTTGGTCGAACATAAATGGTGCAAAAAGGAAAAATCCAGACATATGATTTTATTTGTACTACATGCACGTTTCTGCAGTTACTCACCGTCCTCGCTGGTGTGCGCCTCAGTCCCTCCCTCGTTTTCTACTTCCTCCAGGGCTCCATGCTCACTGTAGGGGCTCTCACTGTGGGGGAGAACATGCAAACTGTCAGGATCACAGCCGAGGCAGCGTCACGGGTCGAGGGACAGTTTCAAAACAGGAAAAGGCCCGGATCTCTTTCATCGCTGTCTTTTCCTTTGAAGAAATTAACGGTTTTTTTGAAGACACCATCTTCTAATTTAGCTTGAAACATAAGACAAATTCCAAAGTCAAACCGCATTTCAGTGAAGAAGCCAAGGAGGAATGGAAGTTATTAAAAAAAAATAATGAACAAAATCCAGAAGAGGTTCACATAGAGGTCATTGTTCTGTTGGAGGCTTACACGCTCTATCTGTGGTTGGGCCTCTTTTTCTAAATGGGCTTCTTCTAGCATCGTGTTGAGTGAGCTGGCAGTAATGACACACACGCGGCAGCCAAGACAACAAATCTCCCCGGGGGGGGGCGGCTATATTTGAGAGGGGCAGACATGGTTGTGCTGAGACGACCAGCCAGGGTTAAATCCCCGTCAGGTGGTGGCAATGTGCGGGCACGAGAGGGTAGAGTAGAATCAAGCTATAAGCACTGCTTACAGATGTGGAGCTGACGAAGGGCCTGTTGATTCAAGCATGCGCGGCAAATCACCTAATTACCTTTTCCCTTCCTTGTGACCTCGCTTTCCCTTCCTGCCACGATCAAGGTAATCAAAGGGATTGTTTCAGCTTCTAGCGAGGTCTGTGCTGAAACATGCGCCACCTTGTCATTTCCCTGAACCACAGACGCGTAATTGATTGATTACTTGTATCAACTACACAGACATACTCCCGACACAGCTGCACCATTGAGAGCTCACGCATACCTGCATGCTGAGTGAGACCCTGTTGAAGGAGGTCTGGCCTGTGCTCCATTGAGGGTACGGGGGGGAAAAATGAAATAAGAGAAGCTCCAGCTTCTCTCCAAGTCTTAAACCTACATGTTTAAGAAATGTGTGCAGCTGCACGGAGCAATCTCATCAGAATTCTTTCCATCTTCCTTTTTAATCATGGATTACCCACAAATTGACCTTCAGGCGGCGGCGACGCGGCGGCCTGGCAGCTAGACAGTGTGCGCATTGTCAAAAAGCAGAAGTTGATGCGCTATAGAGACATTGGAGCCTCTCAAACACCCAACTGAATCACGACCGGAAGAATGACGTCATATTTCGGGTAGCAAAAAACAATCTACAGGACCCGTTCCTCACCAATAGTCTCCCCCGGCCATACACTTCTCGTAGATGGGCCCTTCCAGTTCTTTGGTATCGGGAAAGATGGTCTCATGGTGGATGATGATGGTCTTGACGATCTCGTTGACGTGGGCCTGGCAGGAGACCTGGTCCAGGCTGTCCGGTGTGGGCATGAGCGTGGGGCCGTAGCATATGGCCAGGTTGTACGGGTCCATCATGTTCTCGTCGCTGTACTGGGACAGGCTGGAGAAAGGAGGGGAGGAAGTAGGAGAGTAAACAGACGGAGGGAACAAGGAGAGCGAGTTTAGGCCCGAGTGAGAGGACGAAAGACTCTCCTTTGGGTGTATTCACTGGTCTGTGAGCTTACTGGTTGAGGAAGGCGAAGAGGTAGCGCATGACGACGAGGACGGATCTGGGAACGGTCAGAAGGATCTTGCGGATGTACAGCGCTCTCTCATATAGGTTTTCTATTCCTAGTGCAGCAAAAAGAAAGACAAGGTAGGGTGTAAAAAACAGTGACGTCCAACCTCATCTACAAGATGATCATCATCACACCGAGTCAGAAGAGAAGAGCCAGAGCACATTGAAGATTTACTAATGCAGTGACATAACATGCGTATTTTAAGTCTCTAATCGTGACCTTCACCTTGTTCCTCCGCTGACACCAAGCGATTTTCAAAAGTACCTGACGACGAGGACGAAAAGTAGTTTTTCCTCTTGTAAATGAAAACAGCATCTCTCAAAAAAACATCTTAGCATTTCACCGTTTTCTCCTGCGTCACAGAAATGAGGACATTGCCAACTAATGGTTCCCTCTTTGTCAAAAACAAACAGACATAGACATACCAGGCTGCCGACATCTTTCATCACTATCTCATTTGCTCAGCTGGGGCACTTGAAGCGCCCCGTTATATTTGGCTGAGCTTAACTGCTAAAAATAGCTCCGTCCCCCCTCAAGCCACTATGAGCCATCTGGGATTTGGGCTTCTGGGATACTTTTGACGTATTTCATCTTTCGTGATTACCAAAGCTACTTTTGAGGAGCAACGCCAACAAACACGTGCAAAAACACCCCCGGAAAAAACATCCCCGCTGAAAGTTCCCAAATGACGGATATTAGCAGCTGCGGTAAGAAGTACACGGTCGACGAGAAGCAGTTAAGTAGAAAAGTGATCTTGTAGCTGATCTGAGCTGCTCCATAAAGGAAAAGGCGGAGGGTTTTTAATGTGGAGCCTGCTGGGCATTCAGCCCACACTGCAATCGCTGGCATGCCGAGCTGTGGAATGTAAACAGGGAATCCCCCATCACTCATCCTGCACCCATGTGTGGAAGTACACCCAGGAGCCACTAAGCAGTGAGCACACAAAAGCCTGCATGAGCATGAACACAGACACACAAAGCTGAAAGAGGCATTGCAGCACATGTTGTGTCCATGTGACTTGGTGCATGATAAAACTACTGTTATTAAGCAATAATGTGTGTGTGCGTGCTTACTGATGCTGGACAGCAGATCGTTGAACCTTTCCTTGGGGAACAGTGGGTTTTCCAGACCACGGAAGTATAGTTTGAGAACGCCAGCCACCGAGTTGATGTCATGATTGTTCTCGTCATCCGTCAGGGGGTCATTGCCTTAAACACAGCGAGGGAAGCATGTCAGCTGGCTTTCCTTAATTATTAAAAATTGCACATGGTTTAATGTGGAGTACATCTGACTAACAACTCCAAAAGCAGACTAGCTAAATACGCTCATTATAACGCGATAAAGTCGACACAAACCTCTTTCGAAAGAGTTCTTGATGTCATTGACTTCCAGTTGGGAGCCAGATACCCGAAATATTCCTTGATGTTGGAGGCCTGCAAGTGAAAGAAAAAGACAGACGGTGAAGAGGAAGTAAAAGGACAGACACGCATAAATCCACTCAGAAAGAAACCTCACCCGCTGTGCAAATGAAACCTACTTTAGTTGGACTTCAAAAAGGAACATCATGGTCGTTAAGCCCCTTCACTTTTCTAATTAAAGATAATTAATGAGTCAGGGAGGTCGCAATCAAGCTGTACTCGAGCGTCTTCCTGTTTGGATTTGGAGTTAATAAGGAGCCAGGTCAGGGGTCACAGGGAACTAGAATTGGTCTGCTTTTCATCTCTTTTTTACGGCCCGCTGCTGGGCGACCATGACAACTCCCAGGGACCCTTCGTGAATGCCTAATGTCTGCATGCATTCATACAGTGTACAAATTCATTCATTCATACAAATCTTTTAAGTCATCGCTCGTGCCGGGCTAAGCTGCCTATCTGTCGGTCTGTCTGTCTGTCTGTGAAACTGATGTAGTGTCACTTTTCAACAAAGTCACACACTTGGGTTATGAGAATTCATTCACGATCACTTTTTAACGAAGTGACGACAACAAGCAACTCACCATACAAATTTATGAAGCGAATACAGCTTTCTACCACGCGGGGAATAGCTTGTCCAGAGTCCTTTGAAGGCAAAAAACACCCACATGTCAGATCATGTTTTATTTTCCATTGGCATAAAAAGAAGCAAGAGCCCGACAGATACGTAACAGATATGTTGTCAATACCAATAATTAAGAATGATGGCGATCAAATAGAATAGAGATTTTTACAAAACATAAAATACATCACAAGAGAAAGATGTATCAAAGTAAAGATCAACAAAGAAACAGCTCAACATTAAACTTTCTTTATTTTAGTAGGTGTGAGAATTCATATTAAATACGAGAGAACGCTGAATCTTGATCAGTAATTGTAGTTGATATTTAAATTGTTTTAAATAGAGAAGTTTGAAACAGCGTGTGATTAGAGGGATTTATAAAACCAACGCAATTCATTAATTATGGCAGCTTACATTATTCTTTCTGTAGATTTGACGATATCGGTCGGGCTCACAGAAACATGATGTTAAAGGGGTGTAAACACACACGTACCCAGTGTAAGTGAAGTTGGTGAGTTTACAGACAAAGTGACAGTTATTCTTGAGACAGACTGAGGCGACCAGCAAACTATTTTTTCATGCAAAGTTTCCATTAATAATCATGAACTATCAGAAAACATACAAATATTACTGGCTGGCTGCAACAAGCATCCACAAACCGGCTGCGCAACACATTTTGATTGACCTCCGGTGCTCCTAAATATACTATATAAGTGGTGTTACGTTAGCAAACAAGTGCACACTGTGTTTGAAGGAGAGGCGCTTATCTAGAGAGCCACACACTCTGCATGGAGCTGTGTGCGCGGACAGATGAGAGGAGCGGCACCTTCTCCTTGGGAGGATAAGCATTCCTTTAACGCACTTAAGAGATGGACTCGAACCGTGTTGTGCCTCGCTGCCAGCTGCTGAGTGCTGGACAGGGACCGGCTACATGCCTTTATTGATACAGTGGATCTGTTAACAGCCCTCGGGTGTATTCATGCACGGTCCAAACACAGCGATCGTGCCAAAATCGACTATGGATGAGAGCCGTGAGCACTGGTGCAGCAGGATCATGTAATACTAAGTGGTTCATGCCAGGTAAAAGCAATGAAACTGAAGATAACATGTGCTGCAACATCTTTGTTAATGGAGAAAAGCTTCTATTCAGTCCGCTTCAGTCTGTTCAAAAGAAGTTAAGAAAGAAAATACAGCAAACACAATAAGATAGTAGAGGGTTGTTAGGGCAGGACAGATGGAGGAAATGAACACAGGCAAGCAGCGAGGGACCCCCCCCAAGACGCTTCAAGGTGTCTACCTGATGTCGAGCGTGTGAGTTCCGTCGTCCCCGGCTACAGAGAATTGTCGCAGAGAAACAGAAATAAGAGAGAAAAGCAAGACCCAGATTAGGACCAGAGCAGCTGCCCACCGAAGCTTTTACCCTCATTCAAAACCCCAAAAGGAAACAATGGGAAGTGGACCAGACGCGGCCACCAGCGAGGAGGAGGAGGAGGAGGAGGAGGCACAACGTATCAGTCTGGCTTCCTGCTCTCTGACTGCCGTTTGTCCCGCTCTGTTCTCTGGCTCTCTTGCTCCGGAGAAGCTCTCGGGGCGACGGTGCGGACGCCAGGTCAGCAGGGAGTCAGGGGAGCTGACCGAGTGCCATTCCTCTCCTCCTGCGGCCCCCACCGGATCAATCAGAGCCACCCCCCCCCTCTCATGTCAGACCCAGGCGACCACTGAGCTCGTAGACTCATGAGGAAATGTTTCCACGATCCAAACAACTGGGTTGTTGTTTTTGTGTTAGTTTTCCGGTAAAACAAAGCTCAAGTGCTTTGGGGGAACCCACCAAAATGACCAGAAAGCTAGAGCAAGACAGAAATAGATAGGAGGAGGAGTGACGTCAGGCGGGCAGACTGGTAATGAGTACCTTGATAAATGACTCCAAATTGCCATTAAACAACCTAACATTAAAAACTGAGCGGGGTCTAGCCCGCCGGGTGCCGGTGAGGGTTTTGAACGGCCCATTGGGATGTCTAGAATACAAAGAATGCATTAGAATAAGTAAACAATGCAGTGTTCTTTTCACAGTGAAGTTGAGCAAACCACTGAAACCCATAAATTCACTTTTTCTGTCCTGATCCTGTCTATTCTTTCTTCTCACAACATCACGGGCAGGCAGTGAAATAAAAGTGTCCGTGCTTTCTTTGTATATAAAATATGTGTTTAAAAGGTTTTGCTCAGAGTTACATAAATGTCTGGTTTTGTCTGACCAACAGTCCAAAACCCCAAAAGACATTCTGTTTACAACAATACAAAACAAAGAAATACAACAAATCTTCAAATTGGAGGAGCTGAGAGTAATGATTTTGTGCCAAACAATAAACATTTATCAAAGTAGTTGCTCACTGACTATCCAATGCCATGGCTGATAAAAGTTATAACTCGGCGGCATCGTACCACGTTGGGCTAAAAACAACATGGTGGCCGGTACATCTGCTCGGTGCTCTCTATTTTTTTTTTTTGTAGTTAGTTTTTTCAGAGTTCAACCAGCTCATCTGTCCACAGTTGACGTGACATTAAAATGTCAAGAGGCAAACTGTCTCTCGCTGCAACACGTCGCTGGATATACGTGTCTCGGATATGCCCCCCCCCCCTCCCCGTCTCGAAGTGTGTGCGTGTGCTTTACCTTGTGGTCATGTAGTCCGCTCTGTGGCCTGCGGGTGAAGAGGAGAAGAGAAGTGAGGGGAAGTTAGATGTGCGGACATGCCGGAGCCTGTCTCCAAGGTCCCCGCGGTGCATTCTGAGCACGGCTAGTGGAGCATTTGACGCCTGCCATCTTCAGCAACACGCACGCACACATACATACATACATACATACAATACAATACAATACAAAACAAACATCCGCTAGGCACAAAGTTTACAACTCACAGTCACAAAGCCTCACCGATCACTATGGAAACACACAGACAGGTTGAGAGCGGCAGAGTAAGATAAAGCACATAATGGCTTCTAAATGTTTTTTTGGAGCGAACGTTTGTGTGGCCATCTGTTCCCTTGAACAGGATCTGACCCGTCTCTGTGTCTGGGTGAGTCATGCTGCAGTTCAGCTCATTGACAACAATGATAAAGGAGCGCGTGGGAGAAGCAGGAGGCTTTTCCTCCCTCCTCGGTTAGCACACGCCTCCATTAGTCATTAAGGGGACCGTTTGATTCAGTGTGTTTACATGATGGTATAATTGGAATCTTTGCTTAGTCGGACTATGCTGTCTTTCGGGGGGCGGTGCTGTTATCCCAATATACATGGCAGTGAATAAATCGAATCATTGGCCGAAAGCATGTCATATCCGATACGATATGTGGCGCTGTTTTCATTACAAATAGTTGTGATACAGCCATTTCCGCTTGACCGCTTCACCACTACCAACAACAACCACCAACATCAACATTACGAGAAAGATGGCGAACGGAGAGCAAGGTGAAGCTACATCCCTCTACTATTTGTGCATGATTTTAATAGGAGTACAGCGAATGCGAATGGCGCTATTGGCTGATATGATAACGGAGAGAAGACGCCGTCGGGATCTCAAGCATGCGCAAAGACGCAAAGTCCAGTTCCTTATCCGATTCACCGCTACATGCCGCAATAGTCGAACTATCAACTGGATCGAGTTATCCAGGGGTGTTAGTCGCATCGTAGTCGGACCGCACATAGTCAAAGGTGTGTACATGAAACGGATAATTCGATTTCAGTCCGACTAAGCCAGTAATTCGAATCCATGTAACCACGCTGAATGAGACCACCAGGAATGCTGGTTGGAACCATGACTGACTGACTGACTGACCGACCGACCGACCGACCGACTGTGGAGCAGCTTGAGGAGATCGCTCCGAAGCAGCACGAAGAGACACCGTAAATGACCAATGCCCATCTAATGCATGGCGGGCCATTAAGTGGGGACCAAATATATCACTAAGACGGATAATTCTAGCTAAAAATCTATTGGAAGTATTGGAGTATTGTAAAAAGCAGGCAATTAATGACAAAATTTGCCACTGAAAAAAAAAATACATATATCTTTTAAATGTTGTGTTGGCTGTTCGGACTCTGATTACGGCCGACATACTTTAGCTGGAAGAAGGCGACAAACAAACTTGGGGAAAGTGGATTTGACATTGAGGGGAACAGTGGTGCTATCGAAGCAAGCTTGACTGTACCTTCACCAAGTGTCCTCTTCAGCAAGTCGTGTTTGGCCTGCAGTTTGGAGATGAGATTACTGCCCTCCAGAAACTCCCGGAATTTCTGTGGAGAATTGAGAGTAATTACACGGCGGCCCCGTGTGCCAGCCAGAGCACTCGCTCTTAAGACAACAATCTGGGATAAGAAAGACGAGGGCAAAGGACACCGAGAGTCTTTTCAAAGCTTTTATCAGAGCACATCTTCACACTAGAACACGATTGCGGTTAGCCTTCCCCTCTGCCAGCTGATCAAATATGTGGGGGCTCATCGCACGATTCATTCTTTTGATTTTGAAATTTACATGCAAAGATTTAGCTTTTTAAAATCGCTGTATTTTGGTGACAAAGTTGTGTAAAACGAATGTAAGCGTATAATGAGACAAGAGAACTACGAGATGTCCTCTCCTTTTAAAACGCCCATGCCCATGAGAAAGCCTCCTCGTCTGCACTCACCATGAAGTAGAACTGCTCGGTCTCCTGCTGGTTGGCCCTCCTCTTGGCGATGCTGGGCTTGCTGAGGTACGTCTCTGACACTGTGGACTTGACAGACTCTGTTGATCGGCTGTGGTGGAAACACTCGGACACGTCGTAGTCCTCGATGGTGACGATGTCCTGGATCGTGGTCAGCGTGGCCTCCGACGTCTTCTTGATCTGGTGATGCAAAAAGGGAGACGGGGGTAGAAGAAGAGTTGTTTCCTGTCAGAAATGTCCATGTCCTGATTTATTCTAATTACACTTATGACCTAAAACGTTATTGAAAAGACATTTGAAACATTTTATGTTGTCATTCAAAATCCTCGGCCTGCACAGGGTCAACACAGCGACCATTCTGCCTGGCGTATAATTAACTCATTGACCCAGTTAAGTCTTGAGTTTAGCTAAACTAATATCAATATGGGCCATTTGGGATTTAAACAATTGCAGAACAAACAGACCCAGGAAGAGAAAGAGATGAAGATTGAATACGTTAAGAGGATGCAAGCAGAGAGGAGGAAGAGTCTAGAGACTCAAGCATGCGAGCAGGAATTACTGATGTGGAAACGCTACAGAGGGAAAGAGGTCATGCTGATGTAGAAAAATCAACCATCTCTAAATAAATCCACAAAAGCCTTTCTCCATTAAACAGACACTCTGGGTCGGATAGAGGTGCTGCGACCGTAGCAGCTCAACTCGGTGTTCACCTCCTGTTCGTCCTCCCAATTGTTATTAATGGTCAGAAGGACCCCCATTCAGAGGTAGTAATGTAAATCTGACCTTAGTGCTAATGAAAGAACATGGTGGATTCCCCGTGTCACTATTATACTAAACAGTTTAACCTCTGGGCAACTCATTTGGGCTTCAGAAGGAAAAAAGACAACCACCCAAAAGGGGAGGTGGACTTCATCTCATTCATGTGTTACACTGATTGATTACAGTGTGCTGCTCACATGCTCGCGCTCGCACCATTGAGGAAGAATGTCATCCACACGTGAAGCAAAAAAAAAACACACGGCAGGTTTGAACACGGATAATGACAGGGTGCAAAAGGAAACGGGGGATTCTGTGATTCAAACACATCAGGCTGTATTGTGACAACAGCCAGGAGTTGGTATTTGGCGATCAATGCAGGGGTGGTCCGCAGATATATCATTAGATAACCTGCGGCCCTCAATAGATGGAGGAAACGCTGAAACGCCCAGGTGCCGACAACACGCTCCGGGTGTGTTGGGTCTCTCCATTGTTTCCCTGGCAGCCTCTTCCCGCTTGCCCCCCCGCGGAGGCGAGCGGCCCGGCTGTCATCACGAGGACCCGTGCATGCGAGAGAATCGCTCCCAGTGAAAAAGGCTGTGGAAATGATCCATTATTCAGCGTACAAATAGTTACCAGTGATCACCGCTGGGCTCAATTACAACGGAGACCATCGCTCCCCGAGGCTGCTCAAGAGACCAGCAGAAAGTCCCTGAGATCGAATGAAGTTGGTTTATTCTCAATAAAGAACCATGACTCATAAGGGAAGATAGCTTCCACCATACTATGAAGCAAGTGTGTGATCGGTTGGAGATGGGATAAGATTGCCCGACTTTAACAAGAAATGTCTTGAAAAAGCAAACGAGAAGAAGATTGGCGTGTGTGAGCTCTGGTTCATACCAAATGACCACATTATTAAACGAGACAAACCACGCTGACTGACTGACGAGCTGAAATGAACGGCGTCCTCGGAGAGCAGACTCATTTTTAATGAAAAAATTTCAATTGCAGCTTTGTTAAACCCCAACCCGTTGCAGAGCCCCCCCCACACTGAAGCAGGGTAAATTATTCAGCAATGTTTTCTTTCACGAGAGTCAAAGAGGTTTGAGGAAACAGCTGCACTTCTATTAAGCGCTGCCCTGCAGCCTTTCCTGTCCGGATAAAGAAACTCTTTTTTGTACTTGTACATTTGACAGTCGCGCTTGTGGGTCTTTACGGCGCTTTGAAAGTTCATCTTTCAAGGATGTATCTGGCACGCTGTGCCCGGGAAAGAGAGGCCATCTGGTGATCCTAACACAAGGCGGCGCCCTCCAATTCTGACCCACCAGGACATCCGCTTCAGTGAGGCAGGCGGACAAGGGCACTAAGCAACACACACACACACACACACACACACACACACGGGCGCGCAGAGCCTCACAAGCACAACAACAGGAAGCTCTAGTAACAAGCACCGTGCCCATATATACAGGTATCATATGCCCCAGGAATCTGAAGTAACAGTGGTTGCACAGGAAGTTGAGTGACATGCTCCTGTGTCTCTGTTGGTCTTTGTAGTAAAAGACACAGTGCGCACTGATGTGGAGGGAGGGAGACGGGGAGGATAAAGACAGACAGGTCTGTATGTCTTTTATTGTATGTAATTAGTTGCATTAGGCTTTGGGACTCTGGAAATAAAAAAAAAAGCGGAATATATTTACACGTGAATCAAAAGTCCACCTAATGGACGTGATTTTACTCTTTACTTTTTACCCAGCCCTATAGCAGCCACGCTATTTCAACCGCTTTGTACGACAAACCAACAATGATGTAGTGATACTCGAGCATGCAGCACAGACCCAAACAATGTGCAGAGAAGCATCAGAGCAGCACTGGACGGATTTGTGCAAATAAAAGAGAGTGAATTCTACCGATGGGAACTGAAATGGAGGCTTCAGAGAGGTTTGATGGCTACCTGCAGGGCATAAAGTGTGTCTGTGTGTGGGAGGGGGAGATATGCAAAAGAACACTTTGATTCTTCAGACATCAGCGGTTTCTTTTTCTCACCTTGGGTAACTTCAGGCTGAAGTAAACTTTTACTTTTTAGTAGCTGTAAGTTCTCGTCACCAACAAAGAGCAGCGTGACAAAACTCCTTGTCAGTAAACAATGCTGGAGCGGCAGAGAATAGTTTTGACATGTCTGAATCGCACAAGCCACAATTACCTGTGTAATTGAGATGCACCAATCAATCAATCAAAATTGTCCGTTTAACAGCTGATTGGTCGTCACCGCTGACCAGCAAATCAGTATCTAATATCTTTTTGTCAGCTCGTCTTTACCTCCTCGTTCTCTATCTTGAGGGTAGCCAGGCGGGACTGAAGCTGCTGGAACCTCAGGATGAGCTCTCCATTCATCGCTGGCTGCACCGAGATCTGACACACCTGGAAAAAGAAGAATTAGAATAGAAATACATCGTCAATAATCGGGATCCCTCTGAGGGAACATCCCGTAACCTCTGGTTTAAACAAGTCACGGGGCTCATCTTCAAAGGCAGAGCAAACCCCGAAACTTGAAACTCATAAGCGTATGGCTTATTTTTTGAGATTTAGTTCAGGTCATCGTCGCTGCTCCATGTGTTCTCAACTACTACGTACCTCGTCTCCCATATGAGACTGGAACTCAAATTTTGCCGGTGGGCAGAAGGCCGTGGGGAACATCTCCATGAACCTCTGGCGGTCACTCCGCGGGTCCAGACTGTCCACGGCGTTCTCTATGATGTCGAGACCCTCGTGGCGTGAAGTCTCCAGGTTGTATTCGGCCGACAGGTAGGTGCGCAGGGCCCGGTTCAGGCTGGCATGGTACCCCAAATCACAGCACTGGGAGAGAGGAAAGAAGAGGGTCAAGAGTTTTTCAGTTATCACAAAAGTGGATAAGCTGCTTTAGTTTGGTGCTGCACTGTAAATTCTGTCCCGAGAACTTTTAAATCAGGCCCAGCAGTTCGCTGGTGCACTTTATTTTTTAACTTGAACTTTTATTACTTTATTTTTAAACCCATAGCCTTATACTACTAACCCATAGCATTATATTTTATTGTATTCCTTGTGCACTGTTGTCATTGTACGGTCTGCTGTTACGCAACAACCGCCAAGTCAAATTCCTTGTATGTCTGACATATTATGGTAACCAATATTTCCTGATTCCTGATTCCTAAAGTCACCAGTGTCTCCTTTGATGATGCATTTAAATCAATTCTGTCTGAGGAATAATGGGTCTCCACTATGAGGAACACAGAGAAATGAAATCTACCTAAAGTGACAACAACGTCAGTGTCCTGTTTATGCGAGGACGCCTCCACAACAGAGCGGACACAAGCGTGAGGTAACATACTCACATCGATTAGGTCCGACAAGTCGTGGATGTAGTATTTGAAAACGGAGGAGTTTGACGCTTCCAGTGTCAGGAGGTACTCGTTCCGCGCTTTGATGGACTTCAGCTTGTTCTCGGAGTACTTGGCTTGGCGCTGTTGAGGGAATTGAGAGGTGTAAAATGAGAAAAAACAATAACGGAGCGAGAATAAGTTTATTTAATGCGTGGAGAGTTTTTGTGCTTTTGTACACGTCTCTACATGGAGAATGGAGGTTAGTTACATAATGTCTAAAAATAGCAACAAAAAAAAGGAAGAGGAACGGAAAAAATACAAGGCTAAACTAAAAACAGCCTGCGTGCTACAGTTCAAACAGATACCTCAGTCTGAGCCATCAGCTTCACGCTGCCCTTCCTCACTACCAGAGCAACACGAGGCTGCTGCACAGTGACCATCCGTTGACCGACGGGCGCCGACTCTGACACACCGACCGATCGTTCATATTTTTAACACTTCCCAAAAGTCATCCCAGGAAGGGCGGCGTTCAAAAAACCATTGGATTATTTGTCACAGGGTTCCAACAGAGAGCAGGCCTGTTCTGAGAAAACAAAGCCTGCTCTTTGGCCGCGACAATGCGTTCAGTGTGTTTCGCTGTACTCGGGTCAGCAGGACATCTTTGAGCGAGTCGTGGAGGGTTTTTTTTCTTTTTCAATCAATCGGTGATTTTGTTGTGTTCAAGACTACCAAATGAAAACCCCTGATGAAAAAGTAAATGAATTAACCAAATTTCAACGCAATTGTCTGAACTGGATTCTAAGTGTGAAGGGCGTACCTTCTCTTTCATCTTCTCGATCTTTTTCACAGAGCTGCGCCGCTGGTATTTGTCTTCCATCCGGATGCTGAAGACCTGCTCTCCTCTGCCGATCTGCTTCTCCTCCTGCTTCTCAGCCTCTTTCAGCTTGCTCTCGGCGCTGATGCTCTCCGAGTGGTACATGTGGTACGTCTTCATCACCTGGAAACAAACAAAAAGGGTTGAAATATTCATCACAAACAGTCTTCGTTGTTGATTAGCTCATCGTCATGCGCTGATATTTAAGGGTTTCCGTCCCATGTGGCACCCTGCTGGATCTCGTCATCAGCATTCATTTCTGGTTCACATGCAGCATCATATGCTTCTTATACAACTTAAATAGAAACAAATCTTTTAGTGAAGGTCATAATGGAAGATAATCAAAACCGCTTCCGCCTCTTATGTCATCACACTGTAGCTATTCGGCACAAGGGAAGTGCCTTACCGTCATGGTGAGCGGCCGATTAGAACCATTTCCTCCAGTTTGAGTCACCGACCTCCAGAGACAGCGTTACTCATACATAACATGGAACCATTGGGGAGGGTGACTCAATCGTTAAGTAGCAGGTAGACGAGCAAACACAAACGATGCGCTGCGGTCTCATTAACAGCGGCTCAGGTCACCGGGGGGACGGGGGACCGGACAGATGTGGGGGCTCTGAGGACAGACTAATCATTGTCTGTGGGAGAAATATTGGGTCCACGATGCCAACACAGAGCTCTAAAACGTGCATTGAAATGAACAATTAGCTTGTGTAGATTTTATTTAGTATTTGGACACAATGCACATTATTTCCCCTAATGGAATTCCGGTGTTGTGTATGCAAGAATAAAACTATTAAAAATAGTTTTCGATGCAATGCCTACCGGAACAAAAAGCTAACTTGTGACATTCTTTTGGAAAGACACACAAACAGCTGGCAGAGCAATGAATTGGAAACAAAAACACATAAAATACATTTAAACTGACAGGAAAAGGCGTCAATATACGACATCTGGGCTTAACCTGGAATTAAACTAACCAATAAATTACAGCCTTAAACCCGATATATACAGTCCCTTCTTTGCACAAGACCTCAAGTTCAGCACAAATAGCGACTCGCACATCCCAGAATCTAAACATCGTTCAGTTATTTCTGTACGAGTGGAACAATGAAGCAAAGCCAGACCTGTCTGGAGCTCTCTGCCTTGGGTGGGGTTTGGCCTAACTGGAACCAGTTCAGAGATGGGTGACTGCCTTTGGGGCCTGTACGCCTCACTTACTGCTCTGGAGTCCGCCGCTGCAGTGTTTACTTTGGCGTTTCTTTTAGAGGGACGTATTTAGAACCGGAGCAGACCTGTTATTTCATTGGCAGAGGTTGACTTCGGGACTGCGGCTGTCTGATGCAATAGCTACTCGGATTGTATGTGTGCATGTGTTATCGCGCATGTGTCTTCCCACAGGGGCTAAACCAGGTCAAATGTGGTGTGGACTGTGGTGTGAGTAACGCGCATTGAGCTCAGAGTAACACGTTTGTTGTGTTGGAGCAGCACAACGATCGACTGGAAGTGTAACCTCGGTAATACTCTGTTGTGAGCAACTGGAGGGCGGATGAGCGCACAGAGCTGCGTTCCACTCAATGCCTTATGCCTTATTACCCGCCTGTGCTAACTGCATGTCAAAATGTTGTTAACAACTTAGCAAGTCGGCTAGCGGGGCATTAACCAAAGTGGAATCAGCTATATATCCATCATTTTAACTGCATTTCCCCAGTTTAGAGTTTCACACGGACTGAACTACTTACAGCAACGGCATTGAACACAGGGGAGGAAATGAGAGCAACTAGCCCCCCCCTCCCCACAAAATAATTCATCCTCAGGGTTCAAAGGTCGGCAGTCACTGCCAAAGCTTAACATTATGTGTGTGGCCCTGCATGAATTTGTTTTGAAGAGCAAGAAAACTAAGCTGATGAGAGCTATTAAAGCAGAACATCACAATGAGTTACGCGAACATAATACCTCGGTTTCCGGTTAACTTTTTTTTGTAATGCTATAAAAGAGATTAGATAAGACTTCCTGTACAGTTTGAGGAATCACTTCGGTAGTTCGCTGTTTGCTTCCGAGTTCAGCACTTGATCCTTCCAACACCTTTAAGCTCAGAGGTTTAAGACTCCGAGCTGTAGTAGATGTTAACTTACAAATGTCTGGAAGTTAAGCGGCTCACTGAGGTAAAGCCGTCTCACCCACATGTAACATACCTGCATCAGTAAAAGAAACAGGGCAGTCATTATTACTTACTGTGTACAGCTCATTTAGGACCTTCATTAAGTCTTCCTGCAGCTGAAAGGCTATTTCCTTGCTCTGAAAAAAAAAAAAGAAAGAACAAACAATCAGACCATTACGAGACTTTCCTAAACACTATTATCAGTCTACACCCCATTTAAATAGAAACAGTGGCTCCATTTGATCATCCCTGTCTGCAATGAATTAATCTAAAACACGGAAGCAACAACTTGTCTGTTAAAGATTTTAGGGTTACTGTATATTAAGTTTTATTCAGATGATGGACAGACATTGACCCGGGGTTTGAATGGTACAATACAAAACAGTAGATTTATTATACTGTGTCAAATACGAGGTCGCTGACTGAAAGTGGTTTCAGCGTCACGGCGGCTTTTCCATCGAACGCAGCTCGAGTTTCGCCGTCCACGTGTTCAACGCATTATCTGGTTTGTACGTCTCAACGTGAAAGATTTTCCCCCTGAATATGTTAACTCAATCAGCCGTGCCACAAGGCTGACTCAGTAATACTATTACGTACACACAAAGACAGACACACGCCCACAGTAATGCACCTCCCGGCTGTGGGGATGCAGTTTACCGGTGATGCTGTGATGGATTAAGGGGGGCTCTCACTATTAATTCTACTGTGGAGCGCTCATATTTCCCCTCACACAAGCTCTCACACACTGGATCACATGTTTATGAGATTATGAGCCATGGTGACGCTGAATTCTTGATCTCTACTACAGTTGATACCACGCTCTGCTACCTGGATGATGTTACTTTCTCTAACCCACTTATCCTCAGACAGATCTCATTCTGGGAGCCGCACCCAGGCAGAGGCTGTAAGAGGGTTCTGTGGGGGTATTGAACCACCCGGTGTGGTGAGATAGACGGAGTGACGATTAACCTCTGATCCAGTGTGGGGGGGTTAAAATGACCAATAGAGCTGGAGTGAGATTTCAATGAGTCGGTTTTAATGGTGTCCGGCACGTGTGCACACAAACGGGTTTTACGCAATAAGCAGAGCAAGCTAGCTGGCATACATTTATTGAGGACATTTATTGAGTACAGTTGCCAGACCCGACCCTAGATTTCAGAGGTGTTGCTTCATGCCACCTGTGGCAAAAGCAATGTGTGAGAAGTCCAACTTGGTAGAACCTGCAGGGTCCAGTGGATAGATAAGCGGGCTAAAGGAAACAAGGTAATTCCAGGGCCATAATATCCCAACTTCTCCAACTCAAACGCATGTCTTTGTCACACTGCATGCACGCAGTTGTTCAAGGCAATAAGACCCTACACGTTGGACTGCGTAGGGGATTTGCCCTGAGATTAGAGGAGTCACCAATGCCGCCTCTCGCACGAGGCTTCTGAAGTGTTGGCAACAGGTAAGAGGTCGCACGCACGCACGCACTCTTGTTCTTCACAGGTAAATCGGTCTGAGAATATGAATAGACAGCAAAGAGGATTAGCCTCATGGCTGCTGGGCTGCTGTCTGAATTGAGGGCGGCCTTCTGGGTGACCTGTCTGGTGGGCAACGTCTTCCCAACCGCTACCTGGTTTGCAGCGTTGCCGCTTTAGAGAGCAAACAGCCTGTAAGCCTGGATAACCAGCTTTGAACGCCAAACTTGGCAAAAGGCAAACACCGGCGTGTTGGGGAGTTCAGACAAGGGAACTACGCAAAAATGATTTGCGGTTTGTTCTGGTCCCGAGTTCAGGGTCGTTCCTTCATTGTGTCGCTCATAACGTGACTCCCATCACACACACCTAACGTCTTCTCAAACTCTCAATGTGATGCAGCCACACACACACACACACACACACACACACACACACTATACCTCAAATTACACAAAGTGATTCTCCCCCCGCCCCTCCCAGCAACCCTGACATGCATTGGGGGCCTTTCACTAAATGCCATGTAGCTTGATTATTTGATGGCATCAGGGCGGGGGTTTTCCAGTTCGGGCTAATTCATTGAAAAGATCACGCCATCTGTATTCCAACCACATCAGGAGGATGAAACGGCCCCGGAGAGGAGAAAGCGAGTCAGTCTGGAGCGTGCTGGGTTTCATATTGCCACTGGCATTAATCATCGAATAGAGATGGCGGTCGTTTACCCTGCAGGGCCTGTGCGTGGCGCTCAGCTCAGAGATGAGAGACCCGTAAAACAGTAAAGGGTTGGCTGATGCATTTCATAAAAACAAGCTTTGCCCAACTGAAGGCACTTTCATTTATATGGCTGAATATAGTTTAACGATTTCGGAAATAAAGTTGTATTTATAAAGGAGTGAGAAGAGAATACGTCCGTTGCACGTTAATGCATCAAGTTCAGAAATCATAAATAAATGTGTGTTATGCCTTTTCATAGACATTTAGGCTTTTTATGGTAGGAGAAGCACAACTGTCACTAAGAACATTAAAAATGGCTCTGTTCTTTTCAGGCAAGTCATGCCATTGGGGACGGGGGGTCTGCATGCACAATAGCTGCACCCTGAAACTGAAGCAAGCACAAGCTTTGCCTGAGAAAAGTTCCAAACTGCCTCAAGCTTTGGGATCTCCACCTCGTAGCTGCAGCCACAGAACGGGACTTCCATGAATAAAACAAGGAGCCCGCTGTATGAATAATAACTGAATACATGCAAATACAAGATCTGTCCAAGCATAAAGACAGAGAGGGTCTACTATGTCAAAAAAACAAACTAAAAAAGGAAAAACTAAAATGGGGTGTATCTAAAAGAACTTGTGGCTGTGGCTTGTTTGTTTTGAAGAGTGATCACAGTGCAGCACTGAATAAATAAATGCACATGCCAAACGAGTCAACCGGAGGATGTTGACAAAGACACCAGGGCTACTCGACTGCTGGTTCCACCTCACAGCATGAGACCTGAACACACACGGAAGTACAAACGCAGGGCTTTGATGTGCTGGCAGGATGACAACAGTACAGCTGTCTCCACGAACCGGAGTGGAAGCCCACGTAACATGAAGAGGTGGGGGGGGGTGGACGGACTTCTCTGTTTGGGCCTCGTTACTGACACTCCGCTGAGATCAAAGGATCAGGGAAGCTTTTAATTAGAAGGCGAGCGGCGTCTCGGCTCTCCTGAGAACACGGCGACCTCACCCCAGTCGGCAGAATGTCACTTGCGTAAAAGCAACATTAAAAAAAAAAGCAGAACGGGCTAGACGCTGCAGATTCCAAAGCAAAGATGATCCAGATGGAGCGATGATAGGACGGGTCTGTTTGGGAAGTACAATACCCACCGGATTGTGAGCGTTCCACGATGCGTTTTCGGTTACGAAAACAGGTAAATCAGCATCTGCGGGAATCAATCATTCCGATCATCAAAGCGTGTGATGCAAGGAGAGGCACATGTAAGCAAGTGGATCAATGTCTTGTATTACACAGTCTTGTATGAAACCATAAGCCTTTAAACGCTAGCAAACGGGAATGACCGCAGCAGCTTCCCGTTTGTGCTCCGGGGGGGTGTGGGCGAGTATTTAAAGACCACGCCCCCATACAATCAGATGAAACCACAACCATCAAGAGACGTTAATCACTCTGAGAACAAAAAAAAGAGACACACACTTTCACCTTTTGAATTGGCATGGTCTGGGTTTGCAGTTGAGTTGAGCAAAAATAAAGAGAGGCGGACCAGAGAGAAAGTTTAACTGACGCAACGGCGCTCCTCTGAAGAAAAGCCACTTTGTAATTTAGGCCTGCGGTGAGCTCATGTGACTCCCGCAGCAGAGGAGCTCCCAATCTTTTAGGGAGTTGTCGTCTTCGTGGTGAAAAAAGCGAGCGGAGGCCCGGTTTCAGCCATGAAGCCGCAGTCCTCAGACGGGAGAGTGGAGGCATTCTGATCTGAAACTGCGGCGGTTCCTCCGCTCTAATTCACAATTCTAAACCACAGCAGCCCAATAGAGCTCCATCTCATCAAACTAAAAGCTTCCATACTGTACGTCTGCATGTCATGCAACTAAATATACTTCGTTGTGAAATTAAAGGGGTGGAGTGGAAGTGAAAGAGTGGCTGGGGACACGGCCGCACAGTTTGACCCCCATGAAAAATCTGGATTGTGTTAGTGGAGAGTTCAAAGTTCTGTTTATCTGTTGATCAAAGAAAAGTCACATCTGACCTTTTCTAATAGGGGTCAAAGATCAGTACAATGCTGGGGGAAGCAGAGGCAGTTAAATGAGACTTTAGGGGCATATATATATCAAACGTGAGTGCTGAACATAATTCACGTTAGACCAGAGTGAAATGAGGTGTCCGTAGGTGAAGAAATGCTGGAAACGCAGCAATGTTTAGAATTTAGCAAAGGTACGATGTACCTTTTTGTACTCTGTTACACTGCACATTTCACAATACATTTTTACACGTTACATTTTTCACATTTGTATGTGTCATTATACATTATTTCAAATGTCTGAATTTTTTTCAGTCCGTTTGCTTTATTTTTGGTTCCCTGGAATTCAAATACATTTGCAGGAATATGTCATATTAACCCTCATCCCACCAACTGAGTCCAGAGGTGTTAATTGATTGTTCATAAGGACTTCATTTCACCGTTATCCCTTTTTCATGTTTCAATTAGTTCCGTTTTTCAACATATCAATGTATTGTAATTGTTATAGATTTAATAGACTCCAATAGATCGATTGTTTGGGATTGGTCCTGATTTTTAATTTATTTTTGGAGTAGTTTTTAGAGACCTCATTCATTTGTCATTTTATGGTGTAGGCTGAGGGTCAAAGTCCTCCTTTGTAGTTATATTAGATTAGATTACATTAGTTCTGGTGGCAACAGGGAAACAGACAATAAATAAATAAATAGAATCATAAAAATCATATTTAGCTCTCTGGGAATCCCGCTCACCTTCTTTAGTAGCCGTGTGGAGTCCTCACTGATCTGCATGAACCTCATGATGACGTTGTTGAGGTAGATGTCACTCAGCGTTGCGTGGTCCTTACTCTCCCTCCTCACCTGGTTCAGCAGCAGGTACCAACAGTTGACCGGAGACAGCAAGTTCTGGTCCTTTCTAAATAAAAACAGGGACACAATTGCCTGTCACATCAGCTGTCACGAGATCCACGTGGAACATGTATCTGTCATTTTCTAAATATTAAATGTTATCAAGAATTCTGTGTAGGAGCGAATTGGTTGTGTGGAACGTTTTAATGACAGCATTTTCTGGCCTCTGCGTATCATGAATAAACAACAACATACGTGACAGACGGAAAACCCGCTCCATAGCGGAGATGCTCATCCGTACTCGTCTGTGCATCGGTCTCCGCTCAAATTACAGGAGGTCCACAAGTGCACCTGGACCTGCTACTAAAGCACAGGTGGGATAAGTCATCCCATGATGTTAAATGTCCCACATACCGCTGGTTCTGGCCTGGAAAAGTTCTCCATATACAACACGAACTACGCAGTTTGGTTGGAAATACATCACCAGTGACATTTCTGGGGCACTGATCTCGCAGTGCTTGAGTCTAGCTGACTTCCATCCACCAGCGAAGAGTGTGCCACAGGCTTTAAATACACTTGGATGAATAAAGTTGAATGAGCCATGAAGTTTTTTAAGTTGAAAAGTAGAAATATGTGCAAAATGTGTCTGCAGACGACAGACCAGAAAGAGAAGAGACGTCACAGGAAAAATGGGAAAGAGAGACCTCGGTCCAAAGAAAAGAAGAGAAAAGGAAATGAAATAGTGGAGCGAGAGCCGTTTCCTGTGCTGTGTGCCGGTTGCTGCCAAGCGAACTGTAGGACATTGTCCAGGCCGGAGCAAGCTGGGGCCCTGCATGAGCTCTGGGCTGCTGGCGGACTTCCTCTGGGTTAACCTATAACATTCCTCCCGCCTGTAAACAGCACAACTGAACATACGAGTGTGTGTTTATCATGGAGAGGTGTCAAGGTGGGTTTGGGGTCAAGTCCTGCAGGAACCATATGCAGACTGGCCTGTGCTCGCCCCTCACAAAAGTTAGTTTGCGGAGCCATGCAGCACTTGTCAACACAACAGGTGAAACTCTGCGCTGACTCGCAAGTGACCCAGGCCTCAATTTTGCCATCTGCTGCAAGAAAAATTAACCGTTTCTTCGAATGAAAAAAGTGACATCCCGACCGGCGGAAATGTTCAGGGGGGCAGCGAAAACAGGAAGCAAAATACATTTGATGAAGCCACTCAGACATGAAAAACATCCGAGAGCACAGATGCTTTCAAAGACACCAGGAAGTACTGTAGGGGGGTGAAAAAAACTGATTTATCTGAAGATGCCTGGGCAAGAGAAGAGAGGGCAAGAACAATGATCATACATCCTTTCTGCATTATGTATCAGCTGAGTGCAATACTTACATACTATGGCCCTAAATATACATATGTGGAGACAGGCACTTGTGTGCGTATGTGTTTATTAATTCATGCTGATTTTTGCATGTAAAGTTGCATAATATCCAGGCGGCCGCTGACATGGAGCTGGACATTGCACATCATGAGTCTCTGCAGAAGCATAAAAATAATGTCCTGGACTTCCAAAGCAGTCACTTTGGAGCAGCTACTACCCCGTTTCCATTTTAAAAGTACATTTATTTAGCTACGTTTAAACTCAGCGTCCTCACTACTCCACACTGGAGTTTCAAAGCAGCAAAAACAAAAGCAGAAAAGAACAGAAATCATTTCACAAACGGGGCGTGGAAGCTCTTGCGCACTGGGGTTGTGTTTAGAAACCCAGGTTTCAAGTGAAAACAGTGTGACGAGAATTAAATCAAATTGGGGGGGGGGGGGGGGGGGTCTGCTGTGAAGAGAGGACACAACATAAAACGAGGGAAGGGGACCGACAACAACCTCTGGGAGTTGTTTACTCCTCTCAATGACAGGAAAATCTCCCAATGTCATCACTTCCCCCTCAGCCGGGGCAGGAACTGGGTCAGACGGACTCACAGACAGACCGGCGGGACCCCCGGGGGCTAAAACACAGGTAGGAAAAGAAACTGTCCAGGACAGACGGGCGGGCGGGCGGCGGGGTTCAACGTTAACATACTTGCAATCTCTTTCGGCGGCAGGATGCTGACAATAGAAGGATAATCACCACTTCAGCATGCAGGCCACTGAAACAAGAGCCCTTATCAGCAATGGAAGGCAAAATGGCAAAGTCCTCTAGTTCCCGACCGATAAAATCGCTCAATAATGCACCTCGGTGGGGGGGCTTTCATTGCTGCCGTGCGCCAGTGGCATCCAAGTACAAAAGTTATCACATCCCTCCAAGAAAGATTCAGGTTTGAAATAGAAAAGCAAGCGGCGCGGTGTCGAACCCTCTGATAATTCTAATCAAGTAGTTTGATGAATAACAAATGGTTTTTGACCTCAGTCAACTTTGTTCTTTGCCACTTGAGCTGAATGCAACTCAAGATTGTGACGTCTGGCAATATCTACAGTTTGCAGCCGCAGTACGTTCTACAGACTCTTTATCTTCAAACTAAGATAGAAAGTCCTTCAACAAGATGCGGAATTCTGGATAAAAAAAGGCTCTCATTTAAGATTATCGCACTACAGATACAGAGAATGATTAAATTGCTCAACATCTCAAAGTCCCTCCCTAGACAAACTTTGCATAATACGGTATTTGGTTGTGTGCATGTGTTTTTTTTTTTTTTCAAGGAAAAGAGAGAGACGGGTGATCGTATATTCCCGCATGTATGCCTTTGTTTGTGTGTTGTGCAAACAGCCACTGAAACACAATCGAACACGGCGGAGCGGAACCAGCGGCTCTTCCGCGGCCTGCCGCTGCGGCCTGGACACCGAGACGTGGTTCTGTCTTTTCCCTTCCTCACCGGAAGTAACTAGGAAGAGGCCAGTAGAAGTGAACCTTTTCCTTACAGCCATTTACGACCATTTAGATCCAAACCCACAGATGCATCCACAGCGTTGGCCGACATCCTGAATGCTATTGAGCTCAAACAGCCTTTATCACCAGCTCACACGGACACGTTGAACAGCGCGTGCTTTACAATCTTCTGACTCAACCTCTTAATGCCTGATTATCTATCTTATGATAATTTGGGACTCTTCGTAGTTTTTTTCCCCCCCATTGCTCCACATAACACTTAAAAAGTCATATGAAATTCTGATGCCAAAGAAAAAGGTTTCATGTAATTGTTGTTAAAGTGACAGTCAATGGCGTTTGCATCCGTTAAAAGTTGGGTTTGCAGAATAACCTGCAGTGAATGTGGCAAATGTCAAGTCGACAGACTGTTTTCACATCCATTACTCTACATACAAATCAGTTTGTTGGTCTCTTAATATCCCAAGTGCAGCTCAACAACAGTTACTTTCACTAAAGCAGGATGGATTCCTCTCCTCGGCAGTGAGCTAAAGCAACGCTTCAACATCTACAAACATACTCAACACTTTGAGGAAGTCACAAGGACGTCGTCTCTCGCCGGCCGTGTAAACAAGATCTGTAAAACAATGCAGCACCGCTCACAGCAAATGACAGCGGCCTCCGTCTGAATGCATTATGGATTTATCATCCACAGGTTTAGCCGCTGATATTATTGCTGCTTTAGCATTCTGCAGCTCTGGCTCACGGACCCGTCATATGAAGACTGGCTTTGGGCAACAGAGAAGAAACGCTTCTTAGCCCGCAAACCAGTCCGTCCAACAACGCAGAGAATACGGACGGCACAGAAGCCTTACTGTGCGAGTGCCGTTCATGAGAGTATAAAAATATAGGCCAAATTATTTTTAAAAAACCCACAGGAAGGTTGTTAATGTTATTCAGGTATCTTGTATTTACTGAAGAAATATGCTCCTTGGCCCTTTCCAAATGTTTACTCTTTGAATGAAGCGACCAGACTGTGTATCACGCCATGAGTCCCCCCCCCCCACCCCAGCAGCTACACACAGCTGCTAGACCCATCGGAGCTGCAGACGGGGCGCACGGGGCTATTTGCAGACGGCGAGGACAAACGTAGGTTTTATTTTCAGTCCCACCACGAGCTCAGACAATATGCTAATGCCTGCCTTTCCCATGAGCCGACTCTTACTGAGTCATACGGGCAGCACCACGGAGATACGAGGCGAGGGGTGCTGGGGGGGGACACCAATGTCCTACAATCAGTCAGCATCTCTTTCCCAAATGTACCTCGGTCAGGTTATGAAATGAGGTCTATGAGACTACGATAAGGCTAAAGTCAAGTCTTTGTTTCATCAAAACGCAGACAAATACCTTGTAATAATAGAGAAATGTTTTGGTTTTGATAAACAAAGATGTGGATGTGACATAGTGAGCCAGCAGCCTGGATGACATCCTAAACAAACTGGGCACCGGAGGCAGCGTCTCCTCACTTGTACTGCTGGTGATCCTTGGTGCTGCGCGTCTTGGCCATGAAGCGTTCGGCCAGCTTCTCCAGGTTTCTGGAGTACTCCATCTCAATCTCGGCCTTCTTCCTGAAGAAATCCTGGAGGTCCTGCAGCAGCTGGACCCTCATCTCCGTCTGCTGGTCCATACATTTCTGCTGTTCCACCAACTGGGCGCGGATCTCTGAGGAGACCAGGGAAGAAACAAATGGATTAGGATGCAGCCAGAGGCTGGAGGAGTTTTTCACCGTCAGTACAAGTATTTCAGCGAAGAGCGCAGAACGACGGAGAATCTATTGTAGTGTAGTACCAGTGCATGTGCAGTACAGATGCTGAGGTGGGCTTAACTGGTCTCATGCGTTTCATTAAGACTGAAAATACCTCCAGGATGAATGGATCCCGATTCCCAACGAGTTAAAGCACTGGGTGGGCCGAGCGCACGCACGCACACGCACGCACACGCACGCACACGCACGCACACCCGTGCCCCGAGTCTGAAAACCCACTTATGTAAGCAGAGGTGTGGCAGCGGGCTTAACTTCAACAAGTTGCAGGTGAATAACCCTCCGAGGTCCTTTCTGAGGAATCACGCCTGTCAGTGCACCCCTCATTGAAATGTAAAATCCTCAGCATGAACACACACACACACATTTCTCCTAATGGAAAACAGCCTGGGCCAGACATCTGCAGAGAAAAACAGATTAATGGGGTGATTTAGAGCCACGTCGACACCAATGGAAGGGCACAGAGAGATCCCTCAAATGAACCATAGAACACACTTAGGCTGCAACATGCCTGTACAACAGCCAGTAAAAAAAAGGTAAAACATGTAAGGTCCTTGCCATGATATTGGCAGAACAAAACATGGATAACCATTTCAGCCACAGTTCAATGTGTACTTTATATACAGTATTGATAATGCAAACACTAATACACTGTTATACATTCAGACTGTAAGTAGAAAACCAAGTGTAGTGCACATACAGCAACTTTCTATTTAAATCATTTTAAATTATTTAACGCAATGAGTCTTCAGAGACAGTGTTTTAAGTGTTCCATGGAGGCATAAGCTCCTGAAAAGACGCCGTGCCTAAATGAGCAGCTTCCGAAACGTTACAACAGCAACAGATGTCTTCGTAGGAAGCCAAAATACCCCTGAGAACTTTTATGAGACGCCACAGTTGAAAACGTCGGGCTGCTTCGGGGTCAATCTACTGCTGACTCAATTAGGAAGCATGCAGAAGAACGGCTGGGAGCTGCATTTGTGCGCGTGTGCGCGGGCTCGTGTCCCTAATGCAGTAATCAAATTACCAAAGGGCTCCGCTCCATTAATCAGTACCAAGTCTTATCACAATCATGATGAATTAACGATTTACGTCGAGTGGGAAGCGGCTCCTTCCTTCTGGCACTCGCAAGGAAATAAACCACTTAGATGGAGACGGACAGGACGAAAGGAAGGCGCGGTCGGCAACACTAAATCTAAATAAAATGCTCAATACAGCGGTTAGACGGAGTGCACCACTGTCATCATTAGGATCTCAACAGCGAAGCAAAGAGGCTCGACTGCAATGGAGAACTTAAAACTTGAACACCATCGGGCCATTAAGAGAACAGAGCGTCAAACAACGAGCCCCGAGAGCCCGGTTGGTTTCAAACGTCACTGCAGTAAAGTTCACCCGATCTCTTTTGATGAGTAGGTAAACCTCGCAATTGCTTCCATCTCCAGTGGAGATTAACACAAAGCTCCGTGGGTCTGACACAAAAGAAACGTACTGGATTATTTAACACAATTACACTCTCGACTGCACGCCGAAAACTCATCGAATCATTCATTTTCCCAGTCCAACACTGGCCGATGAAGCTGTAGGACCGAGTTAAAGAATGGAGGAACTGGAGGTTTGCCACTTCCTGAAAGCAGTTTGTTATTAACATTTTCTTTTTACTTAAATAGAATTCCAGTGCAACAACGTCTCTATTTAAGGCTTCCTTCTTTTGGATTCATCTCCCCAAAATCAATGCTTTTCAGAACTAATTTCAATACGCCTGCATCAGCCTGCACTGCAGAGTTGTAGGCAACTTATTGTCGCCTACAACTCTGTGATGGAAGATTTTGAATGTCAAGGTGAGAATCACACAGCAAAATAGCATCAGTGATTATCTGTGAAGGTTTAACCAGAATTTATTGTAAAAGGGTATTATGCATCTTCTAAATAGATTCAATATGTTCGAAGCTAAATACATTGTGGGGCCTAACTGCTCACCTGAGATAGTATATCTCTGCTATGGGGAAATCGCTAAGTTAGAAACAGAAGGAAATTAACTAATGCCAATATTCTGTTTTGTCTGTAACAAACCAAAGAGGCATAAAGGGTAAAATAATGGTTTCTGTACCAAAAGGTTGAGACATAATTTATCTAAATTAGGTAGATATCTGGTTAAACTCTGCAATTTATAAACGCAAACGTTGGCTGAATCTCCATGAAATACGTTTGTAATATTGTAGTTATTTTAAATAATTCAAAAATGGGGCAGACGGTCACCATCTTAGCCTTCGATTCTGGTCTGACAGGCAGCCAAACCGCTCTGTCTGATGATAATGATGCCTCACGCGATTCTCTGCTGCAGGCCACATCAGCTGTCCCGTGGGGTTCTTACAGAAGTCCCACGACCAGACCGGCACACACTTCTTTAAAAACCCAACCGCAGGAGACCAGAGCGAGATCCATCTCACCGTCTTAGCGTGTGCTGTTCTACTAATACATGGTGCATTCCTGTCGTACTGAGGTCATCTCTATGGTAAACACGTGTGGAGGCCTCTGTGCCAAGGGTTGTGTGCGTGTGTGTAGGCATCAAAGACCTCTGTGATCCCTTTCAAACCGGGGAAACGAGAGCACCTGTGCAACGTGTTTAGAAATGACACGACAGGAAACCCAGAGCGAAGCAATAGATCAACGTTGCCCCGAATATGTAACGGATTGTCGATACAAGCAAACAATCTGCCCAAAACTCTGCAGACTCTTTCACCGCAGTGCGTTATTTAATGACATGAGCGGATAGCCCATTGCAGCATTAAAGTTGTCAGCAATAATTGCAGCTGACTGACGGACCTCTAGTGCAGAGTGCACACGGTGTGAATAGATGGACAATGAGAGTGCGCTGTTTGGATCTCTGAGTGGATCAGTTTGGACCAAAGAGCCTTTTGTTGCTGTGCTGGAGGTTATCCAACTGTTCCTTTGGAGTCCACGTCGCATACTTCCCATAACCCCATTCAGGGTGGCAAATATGTCCAAAGTTGCAGTTTGGGACGCGGTCTGATTTGCCAGAGGCCGGTTCTATTGTCAAAGAACCCGCTGCGTCAGCCGGATGGGTACTGACCGCCGTTGTTGACCTACAGAGAGAAAATCTGGGCTTCAGTTTGAAAAAAAAAGAAAAAAAAGAAAAGCAGACTGTCAGAGATGAGTTTCCTCCACTCTCATGAACCCAACAACCCGCTTCCTCCTCAGGAGACTCCCAATCAACCCGGCTAGGAATCAAGGTGTCTAAAGAGCACGCGTCATGTATGTTGAGTGCAGCGGCGCTGTTCTCAATGGCAAATCAGAAAACGCATCGCAGTTCCCACCAACAGCTATCTGGGACACTGGGTACCACATCAGTCCCACAGCTGCATTGCCACATGCTGGTTTGCTCATCGGTAGCACCTGAAATAGCAGCTGAGGCCTGGGGTGGAGGAGGGGCCGGGGGAGGCACCATCTGCATCTGGTCTCGGTTTTTTTGGGGGGGGGGAGCGGGAAGTTGTCTGTGCCTCTTCGGGAGGCTGGAGACCAGACGGGATAAATCTGATCAAAAGCCAGTTTTTAGCGGAGCACAAGCATTCAATTACAGCCGAAGTGGAGGCGCACGCCAGAAGGAGCCGAGCATCCACAGCAATGGTTCCTCTGGCAGGTTTCTGAGTGTTCTGATAATGCAACAAGGCCCCCCTGCCATCCTGAATCATAGCAGGCCGATCGTTCATCATCCTGCTTCTTTGAGGAACGGATGCCATATGGCAAAAATTAAACTAAAAAGTAGGTTAAAAGGTAAAAAGATGTGTGGGCCTGCTGCATTGCGGTTTTCCACAGAGCACGACTCATCGCACAGCGAGCTTATGTTGAGTCTTGTGGCGAGCGCGCACGCAGACTATACATTCCTGCCTGTAATTGTTGTCAACACATTAATCCACCAGCACAAAAGATCACCAAATCCCAGATGTGAGACGCACTTCTGGAAGCACTCTGACTGCCTGTGCACCCCTCTCGTCTTCCGTCTCCCTGTTCCTCCACCCTGCGCTCGTGGAGGCCGCGAGGCTGACGGACTCTTTACCAGCACACATCCGCCACGGAGGGTTTTATCACCAACATGCCGGACCCTGGACCAGCTGGGGAGGCACTTGAAGGGCCGCTACAGAGGTAAACTAGGAAAGGTTTATGCAGTGCTTTCCATTAATTCAATAATGTAAACCCGGGGGAAACACTGGCTTATGGTCAAAACATGTAACGATGAATGAATGAATGTGCTTTGTTTTTTTCAGGAGAAGTGGCGTTTTCCTCTGATGACCGTTGGGTGGAGTTACTTCATTGCACATATCAGTATTCAATTTTTTCTATATTTCTGTTTGTTGCTTGGTCAAAATAATAATGTAGGTCCAGGCTAAGCACAATTGCACTGTAGTCAAAAAGGCCAACGACTATTAAAAGCAGAAACAATCAATTACTTTATTAACTCAAAAACTCGATGTCTAGGCAATGCCCACTTAACTGACATCATGCTAGCTGCAGCATCCTTGCGCGTCTCCCAGATGCATTTAACTCCCTGACCCATTAGGACCAATGTGTACACCACATTGTGCGGTGACTAAAGCCTGCACAATGTGGAGGAGGACCGGGAATGACCAGCAAGATATTGGTCATGTGCTTGGTATGTCAGACGCTGTTGCTCTGGGCGTGACTGGTCAAAGCAGCCACGGATTCCTGTGTGGGCTCTCTCTCATATTACATCACTACGAGGGAGATTTGATTACAGATACTTGTCAGACTGCCCGAGCGGTCATGGGGCAAACGCATGAAGAGGAGGGTTAGACGAGATCTCCGTGTCACAATTGCATTTATTTATTTCCTCAGTCACATTCAGCAAGCAGTCTCCTCGGCT